ATTCTGAAATTATAGATATAATATCCATTGTTTTTGTGTTTATTAATCTAGTTATTAGCCTTTCAAACTGATCTGAAATCATTTTTTTTCTACACAACCAATTTACATCATGAAATGACAGCAGTTCATAATCGTCCTTAGGCTAGTCTGCAAAATGGCTAGTCAGCAAAAGTTTGGAGAAAACACCACAATCAGTTGGTTATTCAACAATAATGAAACATATTTTTTGAAGATGGTATCTTATATTTAGTATTAATTGTCTAATCTATGTTTACATAATCACAATACTTCTGCACTTAAACCAAAGTATGAAAAAACAAACTGCTACTGTAACTAATTAATAATTAGTAATAAAAACTACCAAACACACTATAAATGCTACTTAAAACTGACTGAATTAGACAAACTAAAAGTAATTATGGCATTAAATTAAACTATAATGAAAAACCCAAAACTATCACAACCCTGATCCCAAAAGGAACTCAAATTAGGCAGAACCAGCCTAAAATCTCATGATCTAGATGATTTTGAGCTACAAATAAAATGGTCACTGGTCTTTTGACCTAAGCTATCCTGTTCACCCTTGACCGTCATGTTTCTGGCCTGTTGCAGGAAGCTGGAGTACAGAAAACATGTCAGCTGTTATTTCTGAGTGCAGTTTGTGTAACGAAGCTGATAATTTCTCCTGAGCTCTTGCAGCAGCATCAGATCCAGAGAACTTCGGGCTGAATTCCTGCGCTACTCCGGAGTTTTTTTATCTGATTAGATTTTCTTGTCTGGTCTTGCCACCCCCTCCACCTCATCGCATTGTCTTGGCGGGGCAGGAAAACTCAAGGCTGCAGCCGCTCCAGTCCAAGCACACAGCAGCAGAATGCTTCAGCGCCAGCGCAGGAACGCCGCAGGTCCAGTCAGGCCGAGACACCAGCAGCTTCTGTGTCGTTAAACTGATCCGGCCGGTTAGAGACAAAACAACCCCGTCAGAAAATCTGCTGTGCAGCCCTTCAAAGCGTAATAAAAGCTCATTGTTTCGTCGCTCACAGCTGGATGCTGAACAATAGACTCAGGTCGGTTCTCAGGGAAATCCACCGCAGGGTGACCTCACCAGTGATGTCATCGCTGTCCACATGAGGACATCTGAACGTTTGCTCAGTGGGAAAGCATGTTCAACTGTTGGGTCTCCATCCTGTTCCAGTCCACTGGTTACAAACACTTCAGAGCAACTGGTCCAACTGGTTCTGGACCAGTTCAAGGTTTTAAAGCAGACTCAACTTTATCCTTTTTAAATAGTGACTAGAGTTTTTTCCGCCTAAATATCTCAGTGCACTTAAAGTAGCAAATAACTAACTTACAAGTAAATTTTAATCAAGATACAAGAGATTGTATTACATAGATAATTCCTTAATATTGATTAAAAAGTAACTGTCAAATGTAAACATTTTCTACTGTCAGGTTTGGGCAGGAAAATATCATTAACTGCCAGGATTTCTCAGAAAACTCAGAAAGTTTCCAGAGATTATCAAACATTTATTAGGAATTATCGTGAAACATCAGAATACATGTTAAAATGTTCTGAAATATTAATAAATTGTGATTACCTGGCATTTGAAAAAGCCAAAGTAGTGTCCCTAACGATTACGGTGTCCTACAAAAACACAAAATCTTACCTGGTGTTTTTGGTCTATTTCCTATAGCGTAAAATATCTTCGTACACTTGAAATAAGACTAAATTAACTTACGAGTAACTTTTCAGCATGATATAGGAGCTTGTTTTAAGTCAATAATTCATCAGTATTTATGAAAATAGTACTAGTTCCTCACTGAGTCGTTACCTAGCAACCCACGCCAAGCCCAGCCCGTCACCTAGCAACCAGTTCTAGTTCCTCTGGAAGATTATTTCACTCATAACAAGGGAAACGTGTCTTGTTGTAAGTGAAATAATCTGCCAGTGGAACTAGTACTTTAAAAAAAATCAACACTAAGCAATTATCAGCTTAAAACCAGCTCCTATTTCTTGGTGAGAAGTTTCTTGTTTCTTAAAGAACAGGTTCAGGTTTTAGGTTTAGGTATGCATAGTCTGACCTGAATGAACAACACGATTTCTGGATCACGCTAACAATAAAGCTCTGTGGTGGAGGAGTGATGATTTGGGTTTATTTTGCCCCCTCAACACCGGGGTACTTTGAGTAGACCGTTAACCTCCATATTTATCAACATATTTAATAGCTCCTCACTAGTAGTTAGTGTAATATTGTCAGAATCCCATTAAATTCGTGCTGGTCTCCGTCTCTTGCTGCTTCTCCTCTAAAGCTCCAATCAGTTCAGACTGTAATCTGGAATGAGAGCTGGATTAACTCAGATTAAATTCAGACTTCTTATTTGTCACACACAGCACAGAGAGGCTTGCTCAGACGGCGCAGCGGTAGAGAGAACCACCCAGTGTTTCAATTTTTCCCCTTTTTCCAGCTCAAACAGACAGCTGAGTTGTGCAGACATTTTCTCTGTAATTATCCCAGATTAAAAAGGTTTTATCTTTGATCAGGCAGCAGCGATGATCAGATTAAAACATGGAGCAACTCTGCATGTCGCTCAGCTGTTTGATCGACGATTTGCTGCGGCTGACATGTAAACTAGTGAGGAGCAACTCAGGATAAACCAAGACAGAACATCAAAGCTGCTGTAATCGACTCTGAAATGGTTGATTTTTCTGCTCTGATCCCCCTGCTGGACCCCTTTAGCCTCAGACTGCACGCTGGGCCACAGTTTAACATGCTAATGCTGCTCAGAGGGAGGCTAACGGATGCTAATGAATGCTAATCGGCCTTCTGATAAATACACAGTTTCCAGATGTGCAGGTTAGAGGTCAGAGTTCACGATGACATCTGACATTTTTTCTGTTTTTGTCTCCCAAGAAAAGCTCAAAAACACAAAAAGTTGATTGAATAAAAAACAAAATGTATCAATGGGACAATAATAAATCAGAAAAATCAACATTAGGATTTGAGCTAAAGTAAGAGAATAAAGAGTTTTTAAACAGTTTGCACATTTTACTGCCCTGTAGAGGACGGTGAGGGGAGCTGCAATGCCCATTGGAGTGTTTCTTAACCTAGACGAAAAACACTAGGTAAAATTTTGTGTTTTAAAACCCAAATAAGAAAGATGAGAAAGTCTCAAGAGCTACTAATGAAGAACATATTAAAAAGTTAGTAGAAAATGTGGATCATTGAGAGGAAATCTTAAAGAAATGAGATTTGGTTTGAGATTTTTGCACAGCTCTGCACATTCTGAGCATGTTAGAAGCCTTTTTGGACCCGTGGGTTCGGCCCGAGTGGGATTTACAAGGTCTGGTCTTTGTCCTAAATCTAAATTTAAACAGAGGACAGTGAAGGTCCTGAAATCCTGCATCCCCCTGCTGATCAGAGCCGTCCTTGGGGGTCAGGGGGTGTGAAGCCCTGGTTCTGGTGGACATGCTGGGAAACGGGTTCTGTTCTCATGGTTCTATATTTAAGCACCAATAGGGATGATGGTCACTTTTACAACAAAAATCTAACAGATTTGAGTTCATTTACGTTAACCTCAGTGTATAAAACTGAGTGTGTAAAACTAAAGTTTATACATGGTTTCTAAGTGTTTCACCAACCCAAAACTCAAGTTTAAAACCATCTAACCATATAGATTAACTGTAGATCTTGTCACATTCTTACTTAATTGAAGTCTGTCGCCATCATAGCTGCATCTTTGACTTCTCCTTCGGCTCTATGTTCTGCTAGCTTTTATTTTCTCCTTCTTCTCAGCTGTTGAGAGACAGAAACAACCATCGCTTCAAAAACACGTCTCTCTACCAGAATGTAAAATCACTCACCAGACATTTATTAAATCAATACTTTGGGCCAAATGGAGACACAACTCACCCACAAACACAATGAGTCCCTGCAGATGGAGGTCGCCTCTGAGTGAGAGTGTGAGGACCTCATACTTTTATCTCTCATCCTCACACCCTGAGATATTGCGAACCCCTCCAACTATTCCCATACACACAAACTATAACTGTCAAATCCTTTCCTGCACCAAACACTCCAGTCTTGGCTGCTAACCATTTAAGGAGTAATGTTTTCTTCCGCGTACTAGATGCTACACCTTTCTACCAGAAAATGCTAGAGCATTCCGTACATCTTGTTCTAGCATAATTTACGCTCCTTGTCTGTTGCATGCAAACTAGGTTGTTCATCTTGTCCTTAGCCGAAACATTTCAAACTATAAGGAGAATACAAATTTGTAAAGGGTTTAACATAGTGCAGCAATATAAACCATTATATTTGATATTCAAAATATGCTAAACTCACTCAAAGCATGAATATACTTGATTACATTTTTTTTTATTTCTCCACAACCTCCATATTAACAATTTAGTTGAAATAAAAATTTTAAAAAATAGGCAAGACTAGTGCTTGACTACTGTGTTTAAAATCCACTAAACTTCCGACTAGAGTTTGTGTCGTTCTTAGGCCAGTGCTAATAGTAGTAGAAACAGCGACCGTTTTCTGGGGAGCTTTAGCCACGCAAGGAGATCAAAACTGACATTTCTGAGGTATGTTTGTGGCTCTTTGTGCTTTGCATATGATAAATGCAGTTTATCATATGGGTTTATCTACAGAAATAATACAAAGGCTAACGTCGTCCGATAAATGTGCATTTAACCCACAATAAAAGCAAAACAGCTAGCTAGCCAGCTAGTTAGCCGTAGCCTCAACCGCTTCGACTCACAGAACTCAATTTATGCTTCTGCGCATGCGCGCAATTCAAAAGTTTGCCTGACTAAAAATTCCAGCGAGAAAACCCCCCCACAGATTATACGAGATTAAATAGTCCTGGTCACAACAAAATGTAAGACGCTTAAAGGACTTAATATTAAATACATACAATTAAGACTTTTTAAGTTTTCACTGACACCTTATTATATAAATTCTCATTCAGTTCTTAATTTATTGAGTCAGTGACATCAATTTGAACATAACTTCCTTTATTTTACTAGAAAAAACATCACATAATTCATTGGTACAGTAAAAAAGTAACAAAAATAAGGTTTATTTTACAAAGCAGTAGTGAGAAACCTAATTAATAATAATTATGCAGTGAAAAGATTCATGTTTCCATTCTGAGCTTCAGAATCAATATTAGATTCTTTTTCATGATTTATGTTGAGGTTTCTGATCATTACATACCAATGTCTATAAAGTTTTTCCCACCTTAAAAACACACAGCATTTCCTGTTTTCCTTCGACTAGCTTTGTGTCAGTAGCATTTATGAGCGTCTCTAAACGTATCAGAGGCTCCGGATGCAGCAGCTTGTTTATACGATGTGCGGTGAAGAATCAGACGTCGGCGAAGCCGTGAAACGACTCGGCGTCGCTCTCGCTGTTGAACACCTGCCGCAGGGCGGACAGGCTGCCGACCTCCGCCTGCTTCTTCTCTTCATCCCAACCGTTTGTCTTCTCCTCCTTGATCACCAGCAGCGGTGGCTGTGGAGGCGTCCGTTCCAGTAAACGCTCTTGTTTTGGTCCGGGTTCTGGAGATCCAGAGTCGAGCGGCTGGGTCAGCACTTCAGTCAGAGCTGTGATCATCCTCGCCGCCTCTCCCTGGTTCTCCAGGTGCTGCAGGCTGCAAGCCAACGTGAATGACCTTGAAGAAGGTCGTGGAAGCAGTGAGTAAAAGCTTTCACACTTTTAAATGTGTTCACTTTTTGTGAAAAGCTTACACTTAAATGTATTTTAAGAGATGAAAGTAAACACAAAATATTTTAAAATCTTTTTAAAAAAATCTTAAAAGTGTGGCGTACATTTGAATTTTTTTTCCTATTGCATTTTAGGCTATAAATGTTTTTCTCATTCAAAAAAGGGAATTTAATTATTTTATTATTTGCATCTTTTAATGTATTCCTAATGGGTATGGGTATTTGTCATGTTACTTATCATTTATTATAATACATTTCCTGTCATTATAAAAATTTTGATTTATTGTTTTCATAATAAATTCCAATTAATGTTTTTTTAAAACTGTCCATATTGTTATTTTTACTATTTTCTCCACTGTCTAGTCATTGAGTGTATCAATAAATACATTTGAAAATATGATTAAATGTAATTATTGTGACTTTTGGTGAAAATGGTCCAAAAAAAACAGTATTATTGTTTATTACAGTAACTTCTGGGATAATTTATTGTCCAGTACTATTTGTTACCAAATTCAAATGCATGCCACACTTTTCAGATACTTATTTGTATCCGAAAAATCCAATCATGCATCGTCTTCTAGGCGTCTTTTGGTCTTGTAGGCGTCTTTTGGTCAATCCCATAAAACCCAAATAAAGACGTTTAAAATGGCCTTTAAATAACTGTGATGTCATCATCAGGTGTTCTCACCTGCGCAGGACGTCGGTCTGCGCGTTCAGAGTGGAGCAGACTTCACTGAGCCAGCAGGCCAACGTCAGAGCCAGCTGGTCCAGTCCAAGCCCGTCCAGACCTCCATCAGCGATCAGCTGGGACCACCGGGCCTGGAGACAGAACCGCCAATCAGAACATCACAGATCCACACACAGAGGCAGGACGGAAGGAAAGAAGCTCCGCCTTCACCGCCGCCTACCTGCAGAAAATCCCGCAGCACCTGCGTCACGCAGATCTCGAGCGGCTGGAGGCGGCAGCTGCATCCTGCGGGGATGAAGGCGATGTGGGTGTTGACGGCGGACAGACTGTCCCTGAACGCCTTGCTGAGGTGACCGCGGTGGACGTCCATCACCAGCAGAGTCCTGTCGCCGGATCTGGAGGTCACGTAAGGTCGCCACACCTGGAGCGGAGAGGAGGGACGGCGCCGAACACCGACCGGTTAAAGATCAAGAATGACCCGAAGGAAAACGACCTGGTTTCTACGGCAACGGACGGTCGTGTTTAAAAAGACAAAAAATTACAGCGCAATGAGAGGCGGACGAGTTTGATATGTGGAAGGAAGGATTGAAAGAAGGAATAGACCAGTGTTTCTCAACCCTGGTCCTCACCGCCCCCCTGTCCTGCATGTTTTAGGCATTTCCCTTCTGCCATTCACCTGAATTGTATCTCTGGGTGATTAACAGGCTTCTGCAGTACTTGGTGGTCATGCAATCATTTGAATCAGCTGTTCTGGAATAGAGGCACATATAAAACCTGCAGAGCAGCGGGGCGGGGAGGACCAGGGTTGAGAAACACTGGAATAGACAAAGGAAATAAATATAGACTGATTGAGGAAGACAGAAAGGATGAAAGGAAGGACAAAGGGAATAAAAAGGAAAAAAGGAAACAAAGAAAAGTTTGGTGAAAAAGTGAGGAAGGAAGGATGAAAACAGGAAAGATGAGGGGGAAAAAGACAAGAAAGAAGGATGAAAGGGGAGGACGGAAGGAAAGAAGGAATGATAGAAATACAGACTAATGGAGGAAGGAAAGATGGAGAGATGGAAGACAGGAAGGAGGAAAGGAAGTATGAAGGGAATAAAAGGAAAGACACAAGGACAAGTTTGATTTAAGGAAAAAAGGAGGAAGGAAGAATGACTGAAAAGGAAGATGGATGAAGGTGAAGAAGGATGTAAACATTGACCATGGATGAATGAAAGGCCACTGATGGAAATGGATGGACAGACTGACAGATGAATGAATTAAGGAAGGATGGAAGGACGTCAGTAACCAAACAGACGGTCAAATAATAAATGAAGCGATAAAATGATCTGATGTGGATAAATATTTATTATTTCTATAAATGATTCTTTTTTTTTTAAATCGATGTCTAACACCAAACACTTTTCCGTTGCCATGGCGCCACTGACCTTATCGACCCAGATCCGCAGGCGCTCCTCGTCCCTGAACCCGCCCTCCCGGGCCTCCAGCAGAACGTTGTCGGGGAAACCGTCTGGGACGCTGGACGCAGTTCCTCTGAAGTACAGCAGGGGGGGCAGGAGGCGGCCGTCCGACAGCGCAGACAGGACGATGTCGAAGACGGGCTCGTCCTCGGGCGACCCGAACAGCTGGAAGGCGGACGCCAGCTGCTTGGAGAACAGGTCCGAGTCGATGAAGACGGGAAGCTCGTCCATGCAGCCCCAGCAGTGCAGAGGCAGCGCCCCCTTCTGGACCTGGAGAGCATTTATAAACCTCGTCAGTCATGACCCAAAGGGCATCAGGAATGTTTTCACATCCTCCACAAAAACTGAAACAATATTTAATAATTTATCAGTAAAAACCACTGGGACCAGCTCTATGTGACCTGAGGTGAAAGACGTAAATCAGTGCGTCCCTAGTTTTTAGACTTAAACCGTTTTAAAACTGTAAACGTTTATCACTAAATAGGCTTCATCTATTGCCTGGTCTTTTTCAGTGAGCTGCAGTTAGTTTGCTTACAATAATAATATAAGAATTTTTGTTTGATTTTAATAAGAGAATAAAGTCGTAATTTTATGATACAATGATAATAATTTGAACACTGCTGCCACCTAGTGGCTGGAGGCTTGTCTTCCAGTCCAGCATGAATAAAAACAACATAGATCCTGTTATTTGATAAGTTCTGGTTTAAATAAAGTTAAGTGGACCTTCCGGGTTTTCTACCGAACCGACCAGTGAGTGGATGGACTGGATGAAGCTGTAGCTGTTCTCCCGGATGCTCTTCAGCCGGTTGTTGTTGGTGGTCTGCAGACCCAGGTCGTGCCTCAGCATGAAGTCTATGGTCCAGCTGTAGCAGTCTTCCACCTGGGTGCTCTCGCCCAGCGCGGCCCGGGCCGTCAGCAGCAGAACCGTCTCCGTCACGCTCAGCTGCTGCTCCCTGCGGTTCAGGACCCACTCCGCCATCTTGTCCGACTTCCAGCCCCACTTCCTCTGCGCCAGGCCGCGCTGCTGCAACGCGATCCAGGACCGGATCGTGGTGGGTGACACGTTGGTACGGCGAGCCGTCTCGTTTATCCCGTGGCACAAAGAGGAGAGGACGACGCAGAGCTGATCGTGGGACAGAGGACCCACCCGCTGGAGAGGAGGAAAGACAAAATACACCACATAAACACAAAATACTATATTTTGGTCTAGCTTTGGGTGTAGACATCTTAATACACAAGACAAAACAAAACAAGCAGCTATTCAGCAAGATAAAGGAACTTGTTTAAGTTAATAAGTCCTTAATATTGATGATAAAATACTTGTTCCACTCAGGTGTGCACCAATCCACTTTTTCTCTTCTGATCCCAACGCAGATATCTGAGGTTTCTGAGCCGATAATTGTCCAATATAGTGAAGCGGTGTTGAACTGACTTAAAACATTTATTTTCTTAAACACAGACATAAATATACTCACCCACAAATATATTTGATAACTCTGCACCAGTACCACACAATTAAATACACATATAGCTTCACAAGCTCAGGTGTAAAAACAACTTTACTTTGTTCAGTCAGTGAAATTAGGAGTGTAACAGCCAATGTAGAAAAAATAATAAAGAAACTGAAAACTACAAAAACAGGTTGACTACCTTGTAAAAACAAACTGCAACAAACTTTCTTTAAAATGTACAGATAGAAATTCTACTTATAATGTAAAATAAATAATAAATAACATCACTGAGAATAGATCTGCCATTATGAATCAAGCACAATGTCACCAATAACCAATCTAGAATTTTTTTTTTAAATATCGGGATCGATACAGATATTAACATCGGCTTGGTGCATCTTTAGTTCCACTGGAAGATTATTTAATTTATAACATGGGAAATTTGCCTTGTTAAAAGTGAAATAATCTGCCGGTGGAACTAGAACTGGGTTGCTAGGTTACGGTCTGGGCTTGGCTGGCGTTGCTAGGTTACGGTCTGGGCTTGGCTGGCGTTGCTAGGTTACGGCTCAGTGCCAGTTGATTGTGAAACAAGTATTTTTTTCATAGATATTAAAGAATTATTGACTTAAAACAAGCTCCTATATCTTACTGAAGTTATTTGTAAGTTAGTTTTGTCTTATTTCAAGATACAAAGATATTTACACCAGAATCTAGACCAAAAATACCTGGTAAGATTTTCCCAAAGAGAAATTAAATAAATGTAATTATTGCTTCCTCAGCTCCACTGCAGGAGTTTGTCTCACCTTCTCAACCCCCATGATCTTGATGGTCATGGCGGGTCTGAAAGGCGGAGAGGAAGCAGCGCTGAGGGCCTTGACGGACAGCTGAGGGGACGTCTGTCCATTTTGGACAAGTTGAATCGGGATGAAGACGCCATTACGATTACTGAGGTTCTTACTGACAGGGGGGCTAAGACAAAAACGAGATTAAAAGAGGATTAAAATAAAGAAAACAAAAGAAACTGTTCACAGAATCGTAGCCTAAAAGATTCGTCAAATTATTTTGTTTTCTTTATCTCAGTTTGATAGAAAACAAATAATCAGAGGGTGCATTTATTTCAGAAAACCAAGTCAAAAGTAAAACAGGTAAGTTTATTACTGAATGTAAAGACCAAGTGAGTAAAGTTACCTTTGTTTATTGTACCTACTGCAAAATTAGGTACAACAAACAATAACATTCAAGCAATTATTCCAGTTAATTTTAACGATTATAGCCAACATCTCATGAAAACAATGAAGGAAATAAATTTCATAATAATGTCTCATGAAATAAACGTTATTTTGCCTTCAAATTTTATTTTTCTTTGTTTTCACAAATTGGACATTAAATCCAAATAAAACCTGAAATCTAATCAGTATTATTAATAAAATGACAATATATTGTCTAATATATTGAGAGGTTTTGTTCAGTGTTGTGTGTTTACCTCTCAGACATTTGATTCCCAAACGTTTCATTCCCAGACGTTCGATTCTCAGACGTTCGATTCTCAGACGTTCGATTCTCAGACGTTCGATTCTCAGACGTTCGATTCTCAGACGTTCGATTCCCAGTTGTTTCATTCCCAGACATTTGATTCCCAGACATTTGATTCACAGACGTTTGATTTTCAAACGTTTGATTCTCAGGTTGTTTCGAACTTCTCTCTGTGTGGAAAAAAGCAAAACGTCTAAATTAAAGTTGGGATGTCACTACAAAAATGCCAACAATATGGAACACCACAGAAATGTTCAACAGTGGCGCCATCTGGTGGTCATATAATGTACCTCAAGTAAAATATGTTTTAAAAATGTCAAAATTTCATTAAATATTGTCTTACTCACATCAAATTCACACCAAATGTCCAAAACAACACAAATAACACACATGTACGCATTACTATGCAATGAGTGCACAAAAATAAACGAATGATATTTTAGTTAGATAAGTTGTAAATACCAGGAGCGAAGTGATTTTCTGTGCTATACCTTCGTCTGTTAACATGATGCAAACGTGATCCGGTTTCTGCGTCACGTGATTGGCCATCGCATCCCCGTTGAAGGTGGTAAACATACACGAATTGCACTTTAAAGCTTGGGGTAACCTGAAAAGTAAACAACCAGGGAATTTAACAGGCCTGCACCTTCAGTCCATCTGAAATACCCATTTACACCCATCAGATTCTCATCGCTCACCTTGGATTCAACTGGAAGACGGCTGGAAACTGAGGGTCTTTCCATGTGGTGTGATTACTGGGGGGGAAAAACAAAAAACATGCTGAATAAGGCCACAAAATAACAAATTTACACTGCAAAAAAAAATCTTACCAAGTATTTTTGGCTAGTCTAAATGAGACAAAATAAACTTGTATATAACTTTTTACCAAGACACAGGAGCTTGTTTTACATAATTAATTCCTTCATATTGATGAAAAAGCTCCACTGGCAGATTATCTGACTTCTAACTTGGCAAAAATGTCTTGTTATAAGTGAAAAAATCTGCCAGTGGAACTGGAACCGGTTGCTAGGTGACGGTCTGGGCTTTGCTAGGGTTGCTAGGTAACAGCTCAATGCCAGTTGAATGTGAAATAAGGGAAATTATGTGCAGTGGAACTAGTACTTTTTCATTCATATTAAGGATTTTATGTCTCAAAACTACCTTCTGTTTCTTGCTGAAAAGTTACTGGTAAATTAGTTTTGTCTTATCTGAAGTGTACTAAAATATTTACACAAGGGAACCAACTAAATTATTTTAGTAATCAATTGTTCTACAGATTATTTTGACAATTAATCAGATTAAACTCGGGCACATTCTGCAGATTTTTCATTTAACCACCTTAGCCTTTTTCATACAATATTAAAAATCCATTAAATAATGCAAATAAACAATTCCTTTTTTAAATAAGAAAACAAATTCTATTGCCAAAATACAATAACGTATCATTTTATCTTTGTAAATAGTGCTTATTTACAAAGATATAAATAGACACTCCTATATAAACTTTACATTTAAGATGAAAATATCTTTGTAAATAAGCCTTATTTACAAAGATATTTTCATCTTAAATGCAAAGTTTACATATGAGTGTGTTACTTTTACAGCAAATTGTCTTTTTTAATGACAAATCGATTACTAAATTAGTTGGTGACTATGATAATAATTATTCAGCCCTAATTTGAACTAGAAACCAGACAAAAATAATAGAGGAAATCTGACAAAATAAATAAGTGAAGGAGAGTTTTGTCCCTGTGATGCTCGTTTGACCAAAAACGTTGCACTGACATCTCAGCACATCGTGTCGACTTGTGAAAGGGTTCAAGTGTTTGTGCTCTGCAAAATGAACGCTGGACGGGGTCTGAGGTGAAGTGCACACATACTTGATCATGTGGTTGGCATAGGAGTTGGAGCAACATGTGGCGAACTTGCAGAAGGAGCAGTGAACTCGTGTTGGGAAATGGATCTCCAGGTCCGGGACAGTCTTCAGGCACTCGATGCAGCGCTGCGACGGGTCAAAGTTGCTGAAACACAAAGAGAAAAAAGACGATTCTGGGCTTCAGCCTGGTTCTAAAATTAATCTATTTCAGCTCAATGTATTCAAATGTTCACTTCAAACGTTCAAACTAAATTATTTTATGTTACAGCAGATTTCAGCATTAATACTGACAGATTCAGTAGTTAATTTCTAATATGGCTGGCTGTTTCTCCAGGGTGCCACTGTGACAGGGGGCAGCAAAACTGCTTTAAAAAAAAAAAAAAAAAAAAACAACACAATTTTTCAGTTGCTTTTTGAACAGGTTTTTGTAGCTTATTGTCACTTTCCACCAATCAAACAGTAAGCCACGTCCTCTGTGTTGTTTACAGTGTAACAGTTGGAAGAAAACATGGCCGCCTGGCAGAGCAGGTATCTGATTTAATTTTGCTGCTACATTAAAGGAACACTAATCTGATTGTTAAAGATTCTGGACTGAATTTGATCATTTGATCACCTGAAAAGAAAAACTAAATATTTATTTTTTCTGCAAAAACACTCAAAGAAAAATCCCTTCCTCTTTTTTTGACAGAGACAAGCAGGTAAACAGAGAAACTGAATCCGTTATAAGACCTGATTCTTCTAAACACCGGTTGGGTTTGTGAAACCAGTGGAGGAAAAAAACAAAGGTTTATTCTGTTGCATTAAGTTTTTATTCCATTCAAGTGATCCATGTGGACATTCAAACAAACTTAATTTCTCAGTTGTTGACATAAGCTTTAGGAGCCGGGAGACCTTAAAAAAGAAAACTATATATACAATTAGGACATCTGCGCTTCAGTGTGTGGAATAAATACAATAAAACACAAATCAAACTTTGTGTATTTTGTCTTGTTCTGCATGGATGTAAATTTAAACAGTGTTTATAAACCCCACGAGAACCTTCCACAGTTATTAATCACAGGTTTGTGCTGTTTACGTTGGGAGCAGTTCATCATTAAGTTGAGAAATGTAAACGTTGCAGCTGCTGGGGGATTTTAAAGACAATAACACTCTGTGGACCCAGGAAGATGTTAGACTTCACACGGGAATGAGCCAAAAGAGCCGTGTGATTTAAAGAAATACTGACAGAAGGAACACGATTGGCTCCTTTAAGCAACTCCCCGCTTCTTGACTGTTTTATAATAAACAAAAGTCGCTTGGATGCATCGATTCCAGGCTTATTTTATTCACAAAATGAAGTTTAAGGCCTTAAAATTAAAGCTACAAAAAAACCAAACACTAATAACTAAAAGGAACTCTCTACAAGATTAAAGGAAATGTTAGGTTTTGATTACTTTAATGTTTATGAATCATTTACAGCCCTATTTTAGTCTGAGCTGCAACTCTGAGCTGCTATTTTGGTAAAACAAATAAACCACAATTTAATTTATTTTACATTGTTGAATCCAGATTTTCTGCTGCTTGACTTGTTTTTACTTCGTCTTAAAGAAGAGATGGAGTTTCAGTAATCCTACCTGTCGGCCCTCAAACCAGAGAAAAGCGAACCCAAACGCTCGACTGGTCTCTGTTTGGTGCCTTCCTGTTGGAGGAGAGGCGGAGCCACATCGACCACCTGAAAAACAAAAATTTAATTAAGCATGGCAGAAAAACTGCTGCATGTGGCAGATGGCATTTGAATAAATATCTGACCAATATCTGACCTTTGAGGGAATATAAACTTTGTCCAGTTCGTCCTTCTTCTCTGAACCGATTATAGAATACATCCTGACTGTTACCTGCAGGAAGAACAGAAACAATGCAAAGTTTAATTCAAGAAGAAATACTCACCAAACTTAAAACTAACAAACTGCAAACTCAAAATCTTTAGTGAAAAACAAACATCAAACTTGCTGCTCCATCAGACTCTCAGTGTCTGTAACATTTAGGCTGTAAAATGTTTCTGTTCAGCTGTGTCAAATCATCCAGTGGGTTCCAACTGTTTCAAGTTTTCTACAATTTTTATGGCCTATCTTTAAAGTACCAACAAAAATTTATTTGAGATATTTCTACAGATGTTTGACTTTAAATTGGAAGCTTAAAACATTGATTAATTTGCAGTTGAAAGAACAGACATGTATTGATAGATGTACAGACGGACAGATGAATAGATGTGTGAATTAATGGGTTCACATGTCACCTGAACTGATGATGGATGAGCTCCAGGATGTTTGGTCAGCTGGTTTTACTGCTGAATGCGCTGTTAACCACTTGCTGAAATTTGTTGGTTATGCAGGAGGCTCCACTAATGCTTTTCAAAGATGCATTTGATGTAAAATTTGCATCTTTTTTCAGCAACTTTCAGGGATGAATGTAAACATTATTAGAATTTAAAGTGACAGAGGTCAAAATAGGCAGAACTAAGCAGACTGAAATCTCATTATCTGAGAATCATTTTGTGCAAAAACTGCAATGTTTCCTATAGGTCAGAGAGATATGCTAAGATGCTCAAGGAAGCTTAACAGGTCACCATTAATGCAAAAAATTCATTTGCAAACCAACTTATGGGAATAACTTAAATGTTTTTAGTTGAGAAAAATGTAAATGTGAGGTTTTTATTTAAATTAAATATTGTTGAAATTACTCTAGGGCGGACGGTTTTCTGTCAAAGTGCTTCAGAGCGAACTGATGGAATGGGGACAAGCAGACTCACAGCTATTCATTTATTTATTTATTTAATTTCCCTTTGGGATTAAAAAGGTATTTTTGAATTGGAATTGAATTTTGTTCTCTTTTTGCAGGATTATGAGGTTTTTTAATGTTGATTTGACAGATTCAGAGCAGACTGTGCAGAGATGAGGCGTACCTTGGTCCCGGGTTTGAGTCCACTCAGCTGGGGCGGAGTGACGTGAGTTTTATGATGCAGCGCTTTGTGCTCAGCGCGCTCTCTGACGTACAGGAAGTGAAGGCGACACTTATCACAGCTGAGTGTCTGTTTCTTCTGTAAACAAACGCAGGATTATTCAATCCGCTCTTCAGGTTGCACAGCGTTAATCAGTGCAGCGGCGTACCTGATGGCGGGCAACGTGCTGCTGGTAGCAGCTGTTGGTGTGCAGAACTCTGAGGCAGTACTGACACAGCAGCTCCCTGGTGTCACAGTGATCCTCTCTGAAGTGAGACCAGGTCTCGGAGTAGAAGGACGACCGAAACTCACACACCTGCAGACACAAAGCAGGGATCAGATTCACCTGGCAGACGAAGAGGAGGCGGATGAAGAGGAGTCTGAGCAGAAACACACCTGGCAGGTGTAGGGCATCTCTCCTGGTTTGTGGGTGCCCTTCATGTGACAGAGGAGGGCGGGTTCGTTGTCGAACGCTAGCTCACAGATCTTGCATATCACTGCAGCAAGAAACAAATCGTCACAAAGAGTCAACAGGTTTTCAAGATCAACAGCAGGTTAGGAAACTGTTTTTGCAACCCGACTGCTTATTTTGGATTTTTCAGATCAGCTCCTCATTACTGCAATTAAAAAAACAAAATTTTACAAAGTTCCTTTGTCTAGTTTCTAGAGAAAATATCTTAGTTCGCTTGAAATAAGACAAAACTAACTGAGAACAANCTNGGTTTAAGTTAATAATCCATTAACATTGATAAAAGAAAAGTAGTAAATCCATTGGAAGATTTTTTCACTTATTTCACAATCAACTGCCAATGACCCGTTACCTAGCAACCCCAGCCAAGCCAAGCCCGTTACCTAGCAACCCAGTTAGTGCTGTAGCACTAGCAGATGAATTCACTTATAACAAGACATGCTTCCAATGGAAACTAGTATTTCTTCATTAATATTAAGAACGATCACCTATATTTTGCTGAAATTTGTAAGTTAGTTTTGTCTTATTTCAAGGGTGTTCAGATATTTTCACTAAAAACTAGACAAAAATACTTGGTAAGACTTTGTGTTTTTACAGTGTAAACCAACCAGGTTCCTGAAGAAGATGGATTTTGTTTACCCCTGTTTTATTAACGGCTCTGGAAATCATTTTTCTGTACAAGCTGTGGCAAACTGAGCTGTGTTTTATCAAGGTTCAAACGCATTTTATGTAAAAAAAAAAAAAAACACTTAACATGTTCAGATTTCCAGACTTATCTGATCCTTTTGGACACATTTTAACCTAAAAGTGTTCATGAAAAATCTTTTTAAAACTGTTGAAAACACGACAACTTTGGTTGGTCAGCAGTCTGAGCTGTCCGGTTTTCTGATTGGCTGAGTTCTGATTTGATTGGTTCATTGTGAAAACACAAAATCTATTTAAAAGTATTTCTGTTTAGTTTCTGGTTCAAATATTGTATAACACTTGAAATGAGACAAAACTAACTTAAAAGTAACCTTTACAGCCACATGTAATGTTTCTTGGAATAATCTAATATCAAGTCATTACAACAATACAAGGTAGCTGGAAAAATAAAGGATATAATAATAAAAATGAGTCAAACATGTGAAGCAAACATGAGCTGACAGTAGGAATACATCAGAAAACCTTGAAAAAGAAAAGACTCAATGAAAACACAGAGCTACTCCAAAAGTATCTACAATAACTGAAGAAAATGAATTAATATGAGTCAAATATAGACGCATGTCAGAGCAGAAAAAGACACTGTAGTTTAATACCTGCTGAGTCGCTCTGGCTGTGAACGTCTTTTATGTGGCTCTGCAAGCTGAATGGAGACGGATAATGACGGAAACAGTGGGGACAGGTGGACACGCTGTCACCATGTCCGTCTTCCTGAGACAACACGTGTTGCTGTATGTGGTCCATCAACCTGCAACACAAACAGCAAAGCAACGAGAATCAGCGACTTACTCAGCGAAACCAATCGACTCAAGGTGAAAAGTCTCACTGGATGTTGTTGCTGAGAACGGCTGGGCAGTGGATGCAGTGGAAAACCCCGCCGAACGTCTCGTCCGGGCTGTCTTTATCCGTGCTGCATCCAGGGGCGCGACCGTAGAAGAAGTCCTCCACCATTATCACCAGTTTACTGGGAGGATAGTCGACTGGCAGAAACTTCTCCAGCGTTGGGGGGCTGAGGGTTGGAGACGTGGGGCTGCTGAGCTCCTCCGACTGGACGTCTCCAGAATGCTTAGGAATCCTCCGCGGAGGAGTGATGGCTTTGATCTTCAGGAGACAAAATGAAGGAAGTTATCGCAGGATAAATTAAAACGAGGTCCTGATTTATCGCTTTTCTCTTTTTCTACCAAAAACTGGATGACAAAAGCTGTCAGTCTGGTGCATCGGCCATAATAAATTTTATTTGTTTCTGTTTTGTTTACCGTATTTTCCGCACTTTTAGATGCACCTAAAAACCTTCAATTTCCTCAAAAGCCGACAGTGCGCCTTATAGTCCGGTGCGCCTTATATATGGACCAATATTGAGCCACAACAGGTCTAGCAACTACGGTAAGCAGCCGCCGACTTCATTTTCACCCGTAGAAGAAGAAGCGCGTGGTGCATGCTGGGATAGTTGTCAGAACGCTGGTTTGCTAATAAAGTTTGACTGACCTATCTACCTACTGACTGTCTAAATCAGGTCGTCTGCAGGTCATTTAGCACCACGTTCTCCACAAACATGCTGTGGGCGAACAGAGAAGGGTGACCATCGTCCGGCCACACCCCGGCCCAGTCGCGGAAGGCTCTCCTCAACGACCGGAGTCGGACTATTTTGTTGACATTCTTTATGTCAACAAAATGGCTTTAGACATTCATCCGGGGTGCTTCGAGTAGGGCTACCAAGGGACCAGCCCCTATACATTTAAAGCCGGGGGGAAGAGAGCGGGAGACTGCGGCGGCAGCGTGTCCGTTGGTCTGTGTTACCCAGAAAGCAGTTGGGCACAATATCGCAACACCAACACCGTGAGTGAAACAATGACTGGCCTACTATATAAAGTACTCGGGGACCACTTCTTAATTATAACACATCCACATTTGTAGAGTACGGAACAAATCGCGTCCCGTATAGCTTCAATACGGGACGGGTGGCAACCCTAACTGTAGCGTCTATTCTATGCGCCTTATAGTGCGGAAAATACGGTATTCCTTTTGGATATTTCAAAATGTTTTCCAGATTCAGCGTTAAATGTTAATTAGAATTTAAAGTTTATCTTTGATGATGTGTTCTAGCATTATTAACATTATGTTAGTTGGAAATGGTCTCAAAATAACAATATCACAACAACTTCTGGGACTATTGTCTCAGTAATTATTGTCATAAGTGATAATATTGTTGTTTTGAGGCCATTTTCAAATATCTCAATAATGGTATAATGTAAATTTTTTCTCTAAAAGACCAAGAAACTTTAATTTTGTAATGAACTCTCCACATTGGAAAAGGAAAACATTTTAAATATCCAAAATAACAAACACCTAGACCTGTAACAATAACAATTTTGCTAGTTAATAAACAGTCCCAGAAGTTATTTCCATAAATGATTATATTGTAGTTTTGAGACAATTTTCAAGTATTATTATTATTATATAATAATGCAAAAATACATTCTCAAAGACCAATAAACTTTAAATTCTAATTAGTTTTGTCCAGTCAGACGTCAGAGGGAATTTAAACTGGGATTGAAGTTTAAACTCACAGGAGACAGAACTGGTTGCACCGGAGAGTCTCTGTGGAAAACCGGAGGCGCTTTGCTGAGCTTCAAGGCTTTTCTTCGCTCTCTCTCCCTCCTGCGGCGTTTGATCCTCTGCCTTCTCAGGTTGATCAGAGCTTCAGCAATCGCAGGGCTGCACATCTGCAGCAGCAGGAAGATGAGGAAGAGGACGAAGAACGCCGTCGGTTAGATTAGGGTAAATAAAACGATGTGCAGAGTCTGATAACGTTGTTACTTACACACATGAAGCCTCGCAGCTCGGTGAGGAGTTTGTACTGAGATTTACAGATCTGACAGTCGGGCGGAGTGGCAGCACCAATCTCACCTGAGGAGAGAAAAACAACAAAAATATATATATTAAAAAAAAAGAGTCTGGACTTCATCAAAGGAGGCAGAGCTTCATTCAGATTAGAGCTGGAACTGTTGATTATTTTATTAATCAATTATTCTGACGATCAGATAAAAAAATGTGGCCCATTCTGCAGATTAAATTTTATTTTCTGATTTAAAGATTAATTGAATTGTTTATTTGTATTTTTAATACTGTATAAAAAGATTTAAATGAGAAATATGCAGAATGTGCCAATTTTTTTATCTAATTAATCGTCAGAATAATCAATATACTGATAAATCAATCGTTATCTGCAACCTGACATGAACACTGCAGCAGCAGAAACAAACAGATGGAAATAAATAATGAACCGATACAAATCGGCCGATACCGATGTTGGTGCCGATCTATCGTGTATCGCTAAAGCTAACAGTTCAATAAGCCACTGATGAATCTGAGTGACAGGAGCAGATGATCAATACAGAAGGAGAAAAGCAGCGGAAATGCTGAAACCGGCTCCGGCTGACTTTTACCTTTTCGCAGCAGCTTGTCGGGCGCTGCGATCCTGCTGGGTCGGGGTTTCTTCGTTTTCGGGGCTCCGGCAGCCGGCGGAGCTTTTTTTGTCTTCTGAGAGCTGGAGTTGAGCGTCACGCTGTGGTCGTTCAGAACCTTCTGGGCCGCCTCACCCGAAACTATACCTGCACCAGAGAAGACAGTCAGGTCAAATGTCAAACATAGCCAGGTGACTCCAGACGTGGCTGAGGTGAGAACCTGTGATGATGGGGATGGGTTCAAGCAGCGCTGAGAGAGACGAAGCAGCAGCAGCAGGAGGAGCAGAGGAAGAGGAGGATGAGGAAGAGGAGGCGGTCAGGGAGGCTGAGGTGGAAATGCAGTGAGTCCCCAGAGGACTGCTGAGGGTCAGAGTGACGGGGATCTGGATCGAAGTGAAGCCGCTGGCTGAGCCTCCAGGGTGAGAGCAAAGCTTCAGCTCTGCAGCGCCACCTGCAGGACAGACAGAAAAGTTTTAGTGAATGAAGAAGCTGAGCTGCACAACTAACTGTGTTTTCTGCTGGTCTGGTGGATTTGGTTCGATTGGGGATCAAAATGTCAACATTTATTACGTTTTCAGCTGCTGTACTGCGTCAAACAAATCAAACTAACTGATGAACTCGTTCCCCTCCTCGCCTGTGGGGGCGCTGCACCGAGAACCACTGAAGGAATCAACATGAGCGCAACTTCCTTCTTCACAAAATGTAAACAAAAACAATCGAGTAGCATCAGATTTTAGTGGGTGTAGGATTTCTCTTTTCTTTTTGGTAAAAGACCACGAACCATTTCTCCTGGTAGCGTTAGATGTTTGTTTTGGTTGTATTTACCCAGAATTCCTTGCATTGTAGTCTTCTTCCTGTTTTTGGAGGACAGAGCTTTAAAATGTTGGTGTTAGATGCATCTTTTTAGCTGCAGATGCATCAAGAGTTCACTAAAGGAATGCTCTGTTGTTGCATTCAGGAAATAAAATCTTTGATTTCCTAAAAATAATTAATTCATTCAATGGGCCCGGGTTCACTTTTCTGGTCCGCATCAGAGTTTCAAACTTTCTAGATAAACAAATTAGAGTTTAATTAAAGTGGATTAAACTAGGCTGGTGTGAAGGAACCGTTAATTTGAATATTTCTATATTTAAAAGTCAATGATGTACCAAAACAAAAAAAAGTAGATCAGGGAACGTCGTCTACATTTAACGCTGTCTAAATACTAAATACTCAGAGTGCTGTTGAGTATTTATTATCCAATCAATGTGTACATAACCAAAACTTTTTAATTCTGCACCTAAAAATTAATCACAGTATAAAAAAGTAAAACAACTAAAACTTAGACAAACTGAAGTAAACAAGATTTAACTGATAAAAACTAGGAAACACTTTTAAAGACTAATTAAAACTAATTGAACTAGACAACCAAAAAGTCAAAATGAAATAAAACTCAAGTGTGATGGAATAATGTAAAACCCTAAACCAGTGTGACCCGGTCAGACTGACCTCCAGGCGGCAGGTGGATCGGCCGACCGTTGACCGTGAAGCCCAAAGTCGATCCTGCAGGCTGAAGACATGAACTGGGTCATTGCAGCAACTTACAACTGAACAACAGTTCAACGTCGAGTCGGCGTCAGTGATGTCACTATGCAAAAATCTCATTACCTTCACGGTCTTAATGGGAGTGGAGGTTGTGGTGACTGGTTGGGCTGGGATCTGGATGATCCTGACTGGTTCAGGGCTTTTCTCCCACTCATGATTTGCCGCAGTGGATGAAGTTGCTGCAAACGAGACCAGTTTTATTAAAGATTAACAACACGTTTCCTGTACCACAGATTTTACAATTCCTAGAAAAAAAAAGCCAAATCTACATTCAGTCCTGCAATTATTGGCACAACCGTTACAAAAAACAACTTACTGAAGCTGCACAGCATGTAGTTTTTATTTTAAAAAAGAAGGATTTTTACATATAAGTTGAAACTGTCACCATGTTGTGACAGTACAAACTACAGGAACATACCACTCAGTTAGAAACAACCAATCAGAGCCAGGAGGAGGGTTTCAGTGCTGTCAATCACTCTCATGCTCACCATGCCACCTTCTTTGTTGCTGCTTCACCACAACAGAGCCTGTTGTGATGCTAATGCTAGTTAGCATTTCCACCAATGACAGCAGATAAAAGGTTTTCCTGTAACTGTAAGCTGTTTGTCCACCATTAGCACATTCAGCAGCGAGTACATGAGGATGATTGACAGCGCTAAGACTCTCCTCCTGGCTATGACAGGTTATTTTTGGGAGCGGTGTGTTTCTACAGATGACAGCAGTAACTCAGGAAGAGGTGGAGGACATTCATCTTTTCACAGATTATCTGCCTCATATTAAACTGTCACAACTTAGTCACAGTTTTAAAAAATAAAATGAAAAAACTATTTTTTTTTAATAAAAGTTACCAACTGCAGATTTATTACAGGTAGTAATATTATATTTCCTGCACCACAAATTTTAAAATTTCTATAAATTAAAAAAAAAGAGACAACAAATCTCCATCCAGTCCTACGATTATTGGTGTCAGTGTTAGAAACTTTGAACAATATGTTATTTTATGATGACTCTCTGAACTCTGACCTTTATCCGCTGTCTCCACCTCCATCATCTTCCACTCCTCACCTGCAAATAAAACACCCACAACATTTATTATAGGCTCCATGCAAAATAAATAGCAACTGTGTGAAATACTGGAATATCAGGCAACTCATAAATCTCAAGATGTACAATTTAAATTATTTAATGTTCTGATTTTTTTATATTAAAGACAATATAAAAGGTATAAATAGATTAAACAAAGTAGTAATCCATTCCTCCAAGTTTTATTTGGATTTAACACAACCAATATAAATGGATTATTTGCAGAACTCTGTGACAAACTGAAGGAATAATTTAACCTTTCAATTAATCTAAATTAGCAAGATACCATTACTTTGAGGTTTGAAGTGCAATTAAAAAATGTCAGATTAGCAATTTTAAGTTTCTTTGCTCCCCTTTCTTTAAATAAACAAACTCTAAATGCAAACATCCATTTTCTTTGTAAAGTTTAAAAAGTGACCAGCTGCTAGAACACTATCAGACATCTAAACTCATCAAACAGTTCATTTGTGACGACAGATTAAACGATGCAGAAAATTAGCATCACTGTGCTAAAATTAAAAAAATCATATGACAATGCAATCGTCTGTGCAGTTCTAGTTTACAGCAACACAATGACAAAGAATTGATTTGATGCAATATTTTCTTACATTTTATTTTTCAGGTGACATGAATTAAGCTTAAAATAATAATACATGGTGAGATTGATGTTTGGATGGGCATTTATCATAATGCTTATCATTTACTGTGAAAAAGTTATTTTGATAATATTTGATGTATCGTCTTGATAAATTTATGAAGCTATAAGCAAACAAAATTATTTACTGTAGACACATTTGCACAGCACCCTGAATAGTCTGACTGCATTAAAAGAAGTCATCAGTTGTCAAACAGCACCTTTAATGACTCTGAAGTGCGTACAACACCTCCAAATATCTGAGTCAAAAAAGTAAATATATTAACAGTAACAAAGGGACAAAATCTGAACCCTTTGTTTTATTTAGGATTTCTAGATACTTTTTAAAATTCTAAATAATTGTCCAGGGTGTTTATTTGTCAGCAGTAAAAATGAAAAACAAAAACAAAAAGTTTATATTATGTCAGCTATATAAATCGGTCATCTGAAATAAACACAAACAAAATACCGTATAAATCAAATCTTAACCGAATCACACGTTAACACGGTGAGGAGGAAAAAAAAGAATATGTGAGTGATCAGAAACAAAACAGATTCTATATGTACTATTCAACTACTGATCACCAAACTTAAATAATTTTCACCTCAACTGTAAACCATAAAAATGAATTTCACACCTACCGTATGTACGGTACAAAGAGTGTTAGCTCCGTGCTACAAATGCTACTCCAAACACTGTTGTCCATTAATTAGATTTGTAACTTTTTATCGTTCATTTAAATTTGCAAACTCTATTAAATGATGGCATCTAATGCTGTTTAAAATTGATGTTACCGAGATGTTGTACTGATGTACTACCTCTTTAAGGCTTAGCTTTTCAATTAGCTTGGTGAGCTAACCGACTAATGAACCGTTCAAAAACAGTTCAAAGACGCTACCTCAACATTAACAACCATAAAGCGCACTAGCTGCTAAAGTTAATGACTTTACACTTACTTTCAGTCTAATAATCCTGACGTGCGGTTTTGAAAATCACTGGCAATGTTGTGTTTTGCAGCAAACACGAAGGGCTCTCCCTGCATGCACGATCTTGCCCCCACCTTCCTGAGCCAGTTAGGGGTTGAGCTAACGAAGCTAACAGCTAGCCGAACAGCTAACTCTTTCACTTCATAAACAGTGTGATATACGTTTGACAAGAATATTTCGCGTGCACTTACCTTCTCTTCGCTTTTAGTATGATAACTATTTGTTTATTCCATTAAAATTGAAACCACTAAACATCTGTATTTTAAAAAATGAAGTCTGAACATATGATCAACAGAGAATTTCTGCTGTTAGCATTTAGCACCAAGAACACGTTTGAGGCTGGTTGTGTGTTGTGAGAGGGCAGCCGTATCCCTCCGCCCTCTGCGCTTTTACTGCTGTTTCTTCTATGGTAGGTACTACGTTCAGACTAGGCGCAGTGATATATATCTGTAGGAATACAAAAACCCCAATAATCTTGAACGACTGAAAATTTGTTTGAAAAGTTCCGTTTTTCTCCTCACTATGTTCTCATCGATATAAAACTATTAAAAATTCAATAAACTCTTACTCGGTTCTTTTTTTCAATGCTGTGTATGAAGGTTTAATGTATACTATGCATGCTAACAAGCATTAGCATGCACTTTCTCATAAAATTGTAGAAATTACGGTATTACATTAAGTGATTTCCTTACTGTGTTATATGTATTTATTCAGAAAGAAGAAAATTGATTAAACAATAATGAAACATTTGCAGATCAACAATTTACGGTTGTATTTGGCGACAGCTTCAAGTATGCTATGCATGCTAACTGAATAGCATGCATCTGGTTCTTGCAACGGACTAACCGATAAACCAAAAGATCCTGTTATTTTCAGACTATATTAAATTTTTTTGGAATGCTCAGAACGCAGTTAAATAGTTTTCCTTATAAATAGACAAAAGTTAAAGTATTTATGTTTTTATAAAAAGAAAGCTTCCTGCATGACACGCATGCTATCAGGAATTAGCATGCACTAACTTTTGTAATAAATACTATATCCAGAGATTTCTTTATTGCATTAAGTGCAGTTTTCTTCCATAGTCCTTGTAACCCAATATAGCAGTGGTTATTTGTAAATTTCAGAATACAACTGAGCTGTTTAAGCAATAATTACCTAAATTAAGTACTAATGTTTATGGGTTTAATCAAAATATTTTTTTTAAACAGGTGCTATGTTCAATGATTATGACCTACAAATTCTATGTTCTTTTTTGTGTAAATAACAATTTAAGTTTAAGTAGACACGAAAGCAGCTGAACTCACAAGCAGTATATTAAAATGACAACCCCAGTCCCCAGGGACTGCTAGCAAAATGAGCTAATACATTAAAACATTTACATTGGTCAAATTAAATGGAAACATTCACATTCAAATGTTCTCTTACAATCACTTCCAACACTTCTAGTTTCTTTGACACAAAACATTTGCAGTCTTGTTTGATTGGCACTTATAGACAAAGAATCCACTGTTAGATCATTACACACTTGTTAAAAGCAGAGAGACTTTTTATTTATGGGAAACCATTTAAAATGATAAGCCTAACTATGGTCTTTATGTACAATGTTGGATGTTTCATATAACATGGAAACAACATGTAAGCTTCCAGGACTACAAAGACATTTCTGATGCTTTGAGCCTCTAGCAAACCAAGTGAAAGTCATTATCAAAAATGAAAAAAAGGCATAAAACAGTGATAAGCTTTTCCAGGAGTGGCCTACCAAAGTTACTCCATTAGTGGATCAATCACAGACTCATCTAGGAGGTCTTGAAAGACTCCAGAACATAAAAATCACTTAAATAAGTGTTTGGGATTCAAGTTTGAGGAAGAAACTGGGTAAAAATGGCAACCATGAGAGAGCTCCAACACCAAGACCAAAAAACATCTTGATCTGGTCCCCTAGAAAAATACTCTGTGGACTGATGAGAGAAAAACTTTTTCTGGAATATATAAGTTTTAACATTTCTGGTGTAAAACTAGCAAGTCAAATTCTGATTGACTAAATAAATATATGTAAAATAAAATTGAGATAAATAATGATTAAAAAAATAAATGATCAATAAATAATAATTTAAAATAAGCTTTTTATACTCAATTGAGTTTTTATCACAAGTTTTCCTAAAGAAAGTCTTGCCTCACTTTCATTCAATAACTTTCGTCCGCGTTTTCCATCACCGCTGCATCTGTCAACAATGAGATATACGTGGTACGTAATGACGTCAGAGACCCGGAAGAAGATCGCATCGGTGCTGTCTCAAGAGCTCAGCTGATAGATCTTCACAACAACAAAAACCAGACATACAGAGCTTCTAGCACGGGCGCTGCTGGCATTTTACCGCTGGTTTAGACTTTATTTGTTTGTTTTTGTCGCAGTTGTGTCTCAGCGTCGCCATCATGAACGTGACGCTCGCGGTGAAGCAGTACATCTCCAAAATGATCGAGAACAGCGGGCCCGGGATGAAGGTTCTGCTCATGGACAAGGAGACGGTGAGAGCCTGCTGGCTGATGTGGTGATGATGCTGGCTGTTGGTACTGTGTGGACCTGCAGTATTACTGTGTAACTCTAGAGTCGTGGTGTTGCAGTGAAGCAACTAACTATATAGAATCGGTTCTGGTTCTGTGTGGTTGTCCTCTTGATCTTTTTATACAGAATTTGAACAAAATGCCACTTGAGGAGTTTTGGGTCAAACATATTTACAGACGACAAAGATGATTTTTATCTTAAATGTATTAATGCATTGCACAGTTTTGGCCTAATATCTTCTCTAAATATGTTTCTATTTTTTCAGCAAATTGCCTTTATTTGAGTCTGTATACCCGTATTAACAATTAATTGATGATAAAATTAACTGATTAATTCAGTAATCTGATTAGCCCTTGTTTGTCCACCTTGTTTATTCTGGCTGCATCAGAGTAAAACATGTTTGTGTTTCCAGACCAGCATAGTGAGTGTGGTTTACACCCAGTCTGAAATCCTGCAGAAGGAGGTTTACCTGTTCGAACGGATCGACTCTCAGAGCAGAGACAGCATGAAGCACCTGAAGGCCATCTGCTTCCTTCGTCCAACCAAGGTACGCAAACCGTTTCCACCAGTCTGAGCAAACGCTCTTTAAAGCTGCAGTATCTAACTTTTATAAATAATATGTTTTCTCTTTCTACCAAAAACTGGATGATAAAATTCTTCAATCTGGTGTTTTCGTCACCTCTATCCCTTTTTTCGAAGGATAATTTTGTTTACAGAGACTTCATAATTAATTTTATTTGTTGTTTTTATTTTTTTTTATATTTAAAGTGTCTTCCAGTTACAGTGTTAAATGTTCATTAGGAATTAAAGTTCATTGATCTTGAGAATTCATTTTTGCATTATATTATTTGAAAATGATCTCAAAACAACAATATTATCATTTATCACTGAGACAATTTATCATCCAGTAAAATTTGTTATTGTGACAGCGCAATATGAGACAGATGATCTGTGGCGCGCACACAGGCATGGTTGACAGCACTAAGACCCGCCTTCTGGCGCTGAATGGTTGTTTCTAGTTAGAACTGGGAACACCGGGAGAGGAGCTCATCTGTCTCATGTCATACTGTAAAGACAAAGTGACAGTTTCAACAAAAATGTAGAAAATAACAGCTGCATGCTCTAACATTAAATGAAAAAAGGGAGACTAACATTAGTTTTTGTTTTTGCTGCAGGAGAACGTGCAGCATCTAATCCAGGAGCTAAGAAGACCAAAGTACAGCGTTTACTTCATCTGTACGTCAGCCGATGGTTTTACTGAGACGCTTTAGGCTGAGTGAATCGCCTAATGTGATGTGACAAAGATGCTTGTTTTACTAGCTTGTTTTACTAGTTTCCTGTAAATCAAAGCTGCTGTTCCTTTAAGGTTTGTGGCTGTGTCTGTTTCAGACTTCAGTAATGTGATCAGTAAGAGTGAAATCAAAGCTCTGGCCGAGGCAGATGAACAGGAAGTGGTGGCTGAAGTCCAGGTGAGAGCTGAAACATTTTAGCTTTACTCTAATGTTTATAAACTTACATCTTACCCACAGACATAAAAGATGCTGCAGCTACAGACTATATGAGATTTTATAAATGGTCTGTCGAGTTTGTAGTTTGCTAAAAATATTTAAAAATGAAATCGTTTTTCAGAAATAAACAGTTTCTAGATTAATTCTGGACTGTAGCTGTCTTCAAAAATTGAGACAATTTAGTGTTTGGTTTCTTTTTTTCATAATCTCATAATATCTATATATTTGTGTGTGTGTGTGTGTGTGTGTGTGTGTGTGTGTATTTATATACACGCATCTGTATTTTTTATATAAATATATTGACGTATTTATATTTTTACACGGTATTGTTTTTTATTTTGTTGTATTTCATTTGTTTCTCTTTTGTCCCGTTTTCTGCCATGGCAGCTTAAGTTTCCTACTTCTTGATCAGATTACATATTTTTATTTTTGCACTATTTGACATGAACTCCTGAGTGGTTTTCCTGAGACGGTGTATAAGAAAAGGATTGTCTTTTCTTATCATATCTAATCTCACCATCTGTTTCACAGCAGCTCTCTTCCATTTATGTTTTTTTTTCTTGGTGCAAACTAAATTTTTTTTTAACATGTTCTCATGTGGAAAATTTGGTTATTTTATTTCTGTGTGCAAAACAGAATAAAGTAAAGACCTGAAATTGCTGTTTATGAGCAATAAAAACCAAATTACTGAGTGTGTGTTTGTGTTTTTCTGCAGGAGTTTTATGGAGATTTTATCGCTGTGAATCCTCACGTGTTTTCTCTCAACCTGCAGGGAGTTTCCCGGGTAAGAAAGATGGAAGCTCTTATATTTTATGTAAAAACACAAGTAAAAGCAAAACAAGGAGATACAATTTGTAAATTATTAGGTAAAACATAAACAATTTCAGTCAATTTATTGATCTGTTTTTTGTTTTGCAAGCGTGAGCAAATATTGCAAATACTGTTTTTATTTTTTGTTGGGATTGAAATCCGTGAACCGTTTAGTTCAAGTGATCAAACAGGAAAGACGCTTTTATTTTATCTGAAATGTTAGTTCTGGTTCAGATGGACAGCTGTCAGAACTCCTGTTGGATCACAGTTTGTGTCGATGTTGGTGTCTGACACTAAAGCTGGATCATTTAGTAATTAAAATTTTGGTCTTTGTGGGTTGATGTGAGCCAGTTAAGATGAACAAAGATGGATTTCTGAGAGTATAGATACTTTGGAGAATTTTTTAGGACGGATTAATTGTAATTAATCGGTATTTGAAATAATCGTCAGCTAATTTAGTCATCAGTTAATCATTAATTGAGGTATTCAGACTCAAGAAAGGCTATTTATTAAAAGAACAACATATTCAGAGCATTAGCAAAAACTGTAAAAAGGTTTTTTTAAGAAAATAAAAACCTTTTTCTGTAAATATGTTCTACCTAGGTCTCCTCGGGAGGCAGTTTTAGCTTCACCTGGTTTTAATTCTGTAAAAATAAAGTATTTTTTTAGCTGCAGATGGATCCTTCGCTACAAATGACCAAATGTTCACTATAGGAATGCTGTTACTACATTTCAGACAGTGAAATCTTTATTATTTTTATTTAAAATAGGAATTGAAATATTTGCATCTTTTAATGTATTTCTAATATACTGAAGGAATAAATGGTTGTAAGAAAAATCTTCAAAATGTGGCATTTATTTTATCCCAATGCTCTTCAGAACAGAATAATCTTCCCTGGAAGTTTTATACCTTATTAAATTGTTGGAAAGTGGGTCCATCCATTTATTTGAGTTGCTTTGGCATGTTTGTCATGTTTACGTTCGCCATCTTTGTTTCTCGACCAGAGACGCACCGATCAGGTTTTATCTGGCCGAAACCATTTCCCGGTAGGTGAGAGCTGCTGATTCTGACTTAAGAATGTTTTGATGAAAACGAACAAACTGCTGCTGCTAGCTCTTTGTTAGCAGCAGAGAGCTAGCAGCTAGTAGCTAGCTCTTTGCTAGCTCCCTGCTTGTAGCAGCAGTTTGAAGCAAACCTTCATCTGATTTTTATGAACCTCAGGAGAAAGGTCATGATAGTACCTGCTGGTGGTGGTTGATTCTTCTTGACAGTGAAAATGGTTCTAACATTTGATTTGTTTAACAAACTGGGTGAAATGGATCGGTTCTGATCGATGGGCTGTTGGTTGGTGTCGCTACAGTCCGGTTGGTTCACACGGCGTCTCTCTGAGAACCTGTTTGTGTTTCAGGGTCGGACCTGGGAACCCTCCATGTTGTCGCGCTGCACGCAGGGTTTGACCTCCGTCCTGCTCGCTCTGAAGAAATGCCCAATGATCCGCTACCAGCTGTCCTCTGACATGGCCAAACGCCTCGCAGAGAGCGTCAAGGTTCATTTAAAAGTTACATTTTAACTTGTTTTCCTCCTGTTCCAAGAAGTATTCAGCCCCTTGGATTGTTTTCCCTTTTCATTGATTATAAATCATTTATATATGATAAACAAAATTAGCATTTTCTGTCAAAAAAAGAAAAGAAAAAAAAAACACTCTAATGTGTTGAATTTATTTAGCACATTTTAAAACAACCACATTTGAACAAATTGCCCATTGAAAGTATGGAATTAGATTTTTTTCATATATACTTAAGTTTAGAAACGTACAGAAAATAGAAAATCTGGTATAAATATGTTTTAGTTTCCAGATTTATTTCCTTTTCATTCATCTAAAAGAACTAGTTTACAACCAAATAAAGAGCTTTTATGTTGATTTGGCTAAAAAATATGCACTTTACTTTTTAATTTTAATTTCATATTGACAACAGAGAACCAAAAGTTTCACACACAATCAGTGAAAAATAAAACAAAGGAATATTTTAGTTTTTTTTTTACTATATATCATCCAGTACAGGTTATTAACAAATACACAAGCAAGAAAATATGACACACTGCATAAACACAAAATCCTACCAAATATTTTTCGTCCAGTTTCTAGTGCAAATACCTTAGTGTACTTGAAACACAACAAAAGTAACTTACAAGTAACTTTTCAGTAAAATATAGGAGCTGGTTTTAAGTCAATAGCTCCTTAATATTGATACTGGCATATTATTTAACTTATAACATGAGAAAAATGTTTAGTTAAAAGTCAAATAGTTGCCAGTGGAACTAGAACTGGTTGCTAGGTGACGGGCTGGGTTGACTGTGGTTGCTAGGTGACGGGCTGGATTGACTGTGGTTGTTAGGTGAGGGGCTGGATTGACTGTGGTTGCTAGGTGACGGGCTGGGTTGGCTGTGGTTGCTAGGTGACGGCTTTAGTGCCCCTTGATTCTGAAATAAGTGAAGTAATCTGCCAGTATACCTTGTACTTTTTAAGCAATATTAAGCAATATTTAAATAAGCCCATTTTTTTGATTTCTCATGGAATTGGAAAAACATAGAAAATACACTCTGCTCTTTCTCTTTTTTATTGAAACTGTGAGCTTTAACGTATTTTGGATCATCAAATTTTGTTTGTCTGCTTTCAGCAAATCATCACGAAGGAATATGAGCTGTTTGACTTCAGGAAGACTGAAGTTCCTCCTCTGCTGCTGATCCTCGACCGCAGCGACGACGCCATCACACCGCTGCTTAACCAGGTGACCAGTCACACACATATGTTTCTAATAATAATTAGCTTTTATTTAATTATATTTAAGTTGTTTTTTTACTTGTCTCAAGAAACAGGGGTTTTTAATTTTAGACGATTTTTACTTATACTTTCTGAATCCCATCTTTGAAATTAAATGAAACCCATTTAACAAGTTTAATCCTTAATTATTAAATCTAAATAAAAATGTCTCTAAAAGCTGATTTTTTTTTTGGTATGATTCTGACATCATTTTGGAAAGTTTTTCTTCATTATGGGGTATTTTTGGTTTGGAAAGTAATCAAGATAGCAGTTAAGTATTTTTTAAATGTACATTTGGGTTTATTTTGAACTTGTAATTATTTATTTATTCAATTAAGGATCCTCTGTAGTTTCTGTCATAGTAGAGTTTCTTCTTCCTGGCATCCACACCACAAACATTATAATAAAATTATACTTTTACACATGTTACAAAAGAGAAACAAAATCAAAACATGAAATTCAAATCCACCGCCTCCACAATTTTAACATTTTAGAAACATTAAAAAAGGACAAAATGTGATACCTTGAAACACACAACAAAATTAAAACACAAAATTTCAACTGTGGCAAAGATAAATTAAAAACAATCCAACAATCTTCACTTAAAGTGTAAATTCCACCAATTCAATATTATTTTATGATTTATTATTGAATTTTTTAAGGTCCTTTTTAAAATTTACATGATTTTATTAACTCTTGTAGGCATAAATGTGTTGAATCGCCTTGTTACTTTGTGAAGATATGAACAGTGGGGATGAACTGTGCTGCTGGGATGTTTGTTTTTGTGTGAAATGTTCGCCCTGCTGACGAGACGCGGTCGGTGTCTCACAGTGGACGTACCAGGCGATGGTCCACGAGCTGCTGGGTCTGAACAACAACCGGATCGACCTGTCCAGAGTCCCGGGGATCAGCAAAGACCTGCGGGAAGTGGTGCTGTCCGCCGAGAACGACGAGTTTTACGCCAACGTGAGTCCTGAACAAAAACATGACGGCTTCCTGTTTACGCTCAGCTAATTCTGAGTTCTCACACCTACAAGCTGATTAAATTTAAATCTGGTTTACAAAACAAAAGTAACACAGTGCGACTAAAACTCTCACAGTGTCTGTTGTTTATCGTGTTGCTTTGGTTGTTTAAAGGCAACTTCTACGTCTCTATTGTCATTTAGGTTTCTCTTATACGATGGAGTATTAGGGCCAGGCTAAGAAAAAAAAAATAAGAGTAAAGTAATAATATTGTCACTTCCCTTTACATTCTCTGAGTTGGGAAGATATTTCTCCTGAGTCTCTGTCGGGTTTTAATGGTATAACTAACACTTCTAGTAGAGATCTTTATTATTAATCATCATGTAAAATATTCAAATAACTTTGTGTTCTGTTCCATATTTCTGTTTACAGAACTTGTACCTGAATTTCGGGGAAATCGGCACCAACATAAAGAACCTGATGGAAGATTTCCAGAAAAAGAAACCTAAAGGGCAACAGAAGCTGGAGTCCATTTCTGACATGAAGGTTGGGATTTATTGAGCTGAATTTATTGGGTTGATTTATTGAGTTGAAATAACTAAAATAAAAAAATTTAATCCAATGTTTGCCTTTTTTTATTGGGGATAATGTAGATGGAAAACAAACAAAAAAAAGATTACATTTCCACCAAAAAAATATATATTTCTGAGTTTCAAAAGTTGAACATTTTCAATTTTTCCAACTCAGAAATTTCTCAGTATTTTTTTTTTCTAGAAAATTTTTGAAATTAATCTCAAAATGTCTGACTTTTATCTAGCAAATTTTCAAAAAACTCCCAACCGGTTTTTGGCAACAAATTAATGTTTTTTGGTGTCTGGAAATTGAGCTGTTTCAAAAACATTTCGAATGTAACGCCACAAATCAGCACTCACTGCGCCGTTACCTAGCAACCCCAGCAGAGCCCAACCCGTTACCTAGCAACCGAAACCAGGCTCCTGTAAATTCAAAAATACTTTATTGATGCCAAAGATTTTTGATTTTTTTCATCCCTCCAGGCATTTGTGGACAACTACCCTCAGTTCAAGAAGATGTCGGGAACCGTGTCGAAGCACGTGACGGTGGTGGGGGAGCTTTCCCGGCTGGTGTCTGAGCGGCAGCTGATGGAGGTGTCAGAGGTGGAGCAGGAGCTGGCCTGTCAGAACGACCACTCGAACGCTCAGCAGGTAACGCTCTTCATCATCTCACCTCAGTCTCTAATCAGAAACCTAAAGAAGAGCAGAAGGTTAAATGCACAATTCACATTTGGAACATTTTGATCTCAACTGTTTCTGAAAACAACCCAAGCTGTTTAAAGTTTTTTAAAGATTTTTTTGACGATAACTTAATGTTTTTTGGTGTCTGGAAATAAGCCTGGTTGGAGTAGCTCTGTACTTTATTGAGATTTTTTTGCTGCTTTTGGACAACCGTTCCTCCTTGTTTTGGATTCGGTGTAGCTGTACTGATTTTTGCCAATTCTTTTTACACTTTGCTGTTTTTGTTATGATACCTAACCCTATTTAGTTTCCCTTTGAGATGAATAAAGTATTTTTGTATTGAACTTTAATGAAATTGTCACATTCCATGGGCACTGCGCCGTTACCTAGCAACCTCAGCTGAGCCCAACCTGTTACCTAGCAACCCAAACAGAGTTCCAGAATGTTGGGTCAGCTGGTTTTACCTCTGTATTTGCTGTACAAAGACTGCTGGAAAAGACAAATGTTTTGTTGTTGTTTTGCCATTCAGAAAACACTTTATGTATTCTTGTTGGTTGTGCAGGAGGATTTACTAATGCTTTTCTAAAACAGCTCATTCCAAAGGGAGCTCGAAATATAACTTATCAGTTTAAAGTCTTATTATCTAAGAATGATTGTGTGCAGAAGATGTAACGGACATGTTTTGTGTAGTCCATAGAAGCGTAGGTCACCTTTAAGACATCTTTTCTGTCAGAACGTTCGGCGGCTGCTGCAGAATCCTCGGGTTTCGGAGCTGGACGCCGTCCGTCTCGTCATGCTCTACGCTTTGAGGTATGAGCGCCACAGCAGCAGCATCCTCCCGTCGCTGATGGAGGAGCTGAGCAGGAAGGGAGTGTCTGAACGCTACCGCAGGGTAATCACAGCCTCTTGGTTTTATTTTCACGCAAGCATGTATTTACTAATTTTGGCCTGTGGATGGCAGATTGAAGCTTTACGATGTGCATTCCTGCTGCAGATGGTTCAGTCGGTTGTGGAGTACGGTGGGAAGAGAATCAGAGGAAGTGACCTCATCACACCAACGGATGCTGTCTCCATCACTAAACAGTTCTTCAAAGGACTAAAGGTAAAAAAACACATCTGATCTCAGTATTTATTTACATATTACTTACTTCATCAGATGAGCCTGAAGAAGCATGTAGCTTACTGCAGGGTTCAGAGAAAACACAGCATTTTATTGTGTGTTTTAATGTATTTCTCAGGGCGTAGAGAACGTGTATACACAGCATCAGCCTCTGCTGCACGACACTCTGGATCAGCTGATTAAAGGTCGACTCAAAGACAGTCAGTTCCCGTACCTGGGAGCCAGCAGCCTGAGAGACAGGTAACACACCTGGAAATCCTTACAGAAATGACTCTCACAGATAGAAATTCACATCTGAAATATTAAGAGTTTAGAGCAGGGGAATGAAAATAGACCTTCATAAAATACAGATATTTTTCTCCAGAAAGTCACGTTTTGAAAACATGTTTCAGGCCTCAGGACATTATGGTGTTCCTGATCGGTGGAGCGACGTATGAAGAAGCTTTGACTGTTTACAACCTGAATCGTAACACTCCTGGGGTTCGGATTGTGCTGGGAGGAAGCGCCATCCACAACACTAAGAGGTATCAGATGCTCATACTCTGATTTTTATCTTTTCATTAGTTAGATTCACTTCACTGTATGTAAAAAATAAAACAAAAGAGGACCCAAGGACTCATCCTTGTGGAACTCCATGTCTAAGTGTAGTTATAAAGAAGCATAAACAGACAATCTTTTGATTTTGCCATCCTGGATATATAGTTTATTGGACAAGGGCACTTTTGGAGGACATTTTGTTTCAGTTGTTTTAGCCAGAAGAAATGCCAAATATTTTCAGTCCTAAAAATGTCTGAATCTGAATCTTAGCTTTGATCATTTTACTATTATTACTTATATTTAACCATTCTTTGATCATCTCAGGTCCAGCAAATAAATCAACCAATTTTGACATATCTAGCAGCATTTACATATAAACAGATTTTTATTTCTATTTTGAGATGCAGTGGACACATAAATTACACATTCACATATATTCAGTTTAATTTCAGCTTCTTTTGCTTGTTTTTTTCTCCAGTTTCCTTGAAGAGGTGATGCTGGCGACGGGTCACAGCGGCGACAGAGCACAGGGAACTGGACGCCACTCCACCAGGCGATGAACACTAACACTGCTTCTGACTCTTGTATAATAAACTTCATCTCTCCCTCCGCTTGTTTATGTCTGTATTTAGAGGAGCTTCCAGAGATCTGTGAATTACCTGGATGTCTTTTTTAAATACCAACAGGTTTGTGTTAAACAAACACCCATTACTGGCAAATTAAGAGCTACTCAATCAGGAAAGATGAAGGATTTGGGAACAATTTTGTTTTCAGGTCTGTAACAGTACACTCAGGTCATGGCTGAAAATCCATCTCATTGTCAGAGTCTTGATTCAGCTCATTGAAAGTGAATAAAGTCATGAATAATAATATTGACTTTAATACATTTAATTTAAAATATATGACATGGGAAAAGAAAAGGATGCAAAGAGTCCTCTTAATTCTTGCTGCAGTCTAAGCTTTAAAAACCATAACCTTTAAAGGTTTGTGATACTGTTAGAAAACTAATAAACACAAAACAATAACTTTTATATTTGCGTTTGTTAATCCCTTGTACAGCAACATTCTCAGGAAAACAAAGGCTAACTACTGAACACACCGATTGTCTTTCTAAAGTGTTGCTACAGGAAAGGCAAATTTTCATGAGCCTCCAACTGCTACTTTTGTGACTTCATGTTGCTGTTAGCTGTGCTGCAATTCTAACACTGAGCTTGTAGCAGCAACAGCATGTAAAAAATCAGTTTCAGATTTATTTGTTTTGACTCTTTATTTCTAGGACCATTTTATGAGCATCTCAGCAATTTCCAACTGTGAAAACTTTAAAAATTTTATTTTTCTTATTTCTTGTAGGCACTAGCTTGACTGCTGTAACACCTTTTGAAAATTCAGTTTTATGTTTATTTTTTAATTTGCAACATGTTGTTGCGTGATGAAAGCTACAAATCTACAAATATCTAAAAAAATTTCCAATATACCAAACAGTCGCTCAGTTCATAAGTGCTACTTTGTTAGCTTCCTGTAGCAGATAGCTCAGTGCTAGCACTACATTACATATTAACAACATGTATTATTATTATTATTATTATTATGTGTCTTTTGTAGTAGTTCTGCTAGTTATAATATTTTTATTAGGATAACAACAATCCTACTATGTCTGAGGAAATGGCTTCTGAGAGCTTTGCAGTTAGCTAGCGGTGTTGCAGTGCTAATGCTAGCTTATTTGTAAAACGTAATAGATCATTAAGATTCCATTTAAAATATGCTATTTATTTCTGTCGTCTTCTTTAACAGCAGAACTTTTGCTAGACATATTTCTTTAAGGATCTTAATAGCCTAAGGAAAAACTGCTTATAAATTTCAGCTGTGAAAATGACACTTGCTTCCTGTAGAAACTAGTTCTGCTTTCATAACGTGTGAAGATTCAGTTTCATTTTCACGTGAAATATAAATACAATACATTTTTCTTTGTTTGTTCTGTAACAGAGTCAAAACTATGCAGCTATGAATTTTTGTAAACATATTAAGATTCCTAGAACACATGAGGCAATAGCTAGCTATAGTTTTAAACTCCTATTGTTTGTAGCTTCGTGTAGCGGATAGCTTTGCTTCCATGCTGCTAACCCAAGCTTATTCATAAACATGTTTATATTTCTATCTTCTTTGATCTACGACTGATAATATTTTATTAGTATCTAAACAGTGCTGCAACCTCTGATGAAATGCTTGCGGGTTTTCAAACTCTGCTACCTGCGCCGCTGTGCTAATGCTAGCTAGCATATCAAAAGTAATCGTGTCAACATTCTACCTACATCTGAATTATTTTTTTTAGCACCAAGATTAAAATAAAAATGTTTTCTCTAACCTCTTTTTTTCCCAGAGCAGAGGCTTTTGTCACTGAAGTAACTCAAGCACACGCTCTGCAATTTGTGTCTTAGCTGCCAGGACTTGACATTGTGTACTGTGACAGACCAGAAAACTGAGATGATCTTCAAATTTAATTAGGATATAATCCACTGATATAGTCTTATAAATATTTTCAAAGCAGTGGTTATATAATTAGGGTTCTTGGAGCTTTCTGTCCTTGATTTAAAGTGCAGTTTTTCATCTGTTTGGTTTAAAGGAAATTTTTTTTGCTTCTGTCATGCAGTGATTCTCTTGTTACATCCTTAAACTTTCCAGTGTTTTCCTTTACATGTTTCTGACTGAATGTGAATTTGAAAGGATTAAAAATAAAAAACAGAGTTGAAACTGTGTTTGGAATCTGAATCTGTACCAGAAATGAATTGAAATGTATTTTTGTATTTGTTTAACTCTTAATTTGGTTTTAAAGTTGGATCAGGTATATTGCAACAGAAAACTCTTTGTTGCTTTCACCACATTTTAAATATTTATTACTATTAATCATTAGTACAAATCTATGTGATTGAGGTATTATGCAAAACAAGTTTATTTGTCTTCTCTGCTGTAAAGGATTTTGTTTTTCTAAAATAATGTTTGTGTGGACTGATCTTCCTGTTAATAAGCAACGTAAGTTTACTTTGAATAGTATAGAAAACCACTCCAAAAGATTCAAAAACAAAAATATTGATCTATTCACATATTTACCATGCAATGTACAAAAGGTGAACACTGGAGTCTAGATAAGAAGTACTAAAGTTCAAGAATCCACCGGGAAATGACTGAAAGGAGGTCAAAGGTGAAGGGACTGAGTGAAAATTAAGCAACTGAATTAAATGGATGAAATGTGAAACAAAGAAAGTAAAGATTTCCTGTCAGTTTAGATGCAATAATTACATAAAAAATAATAAAAATAAGATTCAAAATTTAAAATATTACAACTGGTCATGTTGGAAGCTGTTTTAAATACCTTAAATAATTAACAAAATAACTCAAATAAATGAAAAAAAGAAAGAAAAAAACAATATAAAATCACAGGAAAGTTCAAGACAGCCGTATATTTAATCCAGTATCAGATAGAGAAAACTGTAAGAACACATACAGTTCAAAAGTGTTCAAAAAATAAAATTCATTGAAGTGCTTACAAGATTAAAAAATATTAAAAGAAATTATTAACTATATTTATTACAATAATTTTGAACAAAATAATGTCTGTAAAACTTAAAGTTGATGCAACTTACCTGAGTCACCGTAACCAGGAACCAACAGTCAAGTTGAATCAGTAAGTTATTTTTTACAGTGTTAAAATGAGGAAAGCTAAAATAAAAGCCAAGATCTGAACAAGATCTGCAGGACGGGAACCAGAAAATGTTTTCCTGAAATGCAGAGATGCAGGAATGACGTAGAAGTATCCACCTGTAAAGAAAAGTATTGATCAATGGGTGGGTCAATTGATCGGTTCTGTCACCAGTGGAGTGGGCGGGTCGGAGTGTTTGCTTGCTTCTCTGAGAGTAAACACTCTGTTGGACTCGCTGTGGGTCCAGCTTTATGACCAGACGGCTCTCGGTCAGTCAGTTCTCTCCCTGAACCATGAAGCTTCACACCGCTGGACCTCTGCTGGTTCTGATGCTGGTTCTGATGCTGGTTCTGATGCTACTCAGCTGCATCGCTGCTGAAGAATGCAACCTGCCGCCAAAGCTGCAACGACAGGACTTACATAAGGTGAGATCACAAACCAGAACATCTTGACTCATCCTGATTGGTTATGTGTTCTGGTTCCAGTTGACAGAGGTCCGGTGGGTTCTGGTTCAGGCGATAGCCGACTATCCAGCAGGCGAGGAGCTGATGAAGAACGCCAACAGCTCTGTCATGGAGCTGAAGCTCAAGGAAAACAACGAGAGCTTCCTGTTTGTTGAGCGAAACATTGTGTGAGTTTAACCTGGGCTCAACTGGACCGGGTAACGTTCTGACTCTATTACACTGTAAAAACACAAAGTAAGCATTTTCAGTTGAGTTTCTACTGCAAACTTCTTAGTACACTCAAAATAAGACAAAACTAACTTACATAACTTTTCATCACAATGGGAGCTTGTTTTAGGTAAATAATTCCTTAAGAAAGAAACTGATTCCATGTACAGATTATTTCATTTAAGACAGTTTTGACATATTAAGTTTTTTTTTAAATCAATGTTAAGGAGCTCATAATGTTTGCAAAAATGTTACTTTTACAGTTCTGTCTTATTTCAAGTATATTAAGATGTTTGTACTAGAAACTAGGTCAAAAATACTTGGTGAGAATTTGTGTTTTTGCAGTGTAGAAATTATATACGACAGCGTATTGAGGCCTTTAGGAATAGAAAAAAAAGAGGAAAACCTCAGACAAAAAAATCTGAAATTTTTGGATCAATCTCAGAAACTTTCTAGAAAAACCAATGAAGTTTCTGAGATTCAAAAGTTGAAAATTTTTTGAATTTTCTATAAAAAAAGAAATTTTCTGAGATTAATCTCAAAATTTCTGACTTTTTTTTTTGTTTAGTAATTTTCTTCACAGCACCAAAACTTTTTAGCGAAAAACAAGAGCTGTTTTAAATTAGTTTCTTTCCATTTAGCAAATGTATTTTCAAAATGTCAGATTGCATATGGTTAATGGAAACAGAGTGGGAGCCACGTTACATGTCATATTTACTTATCAGGGACATTTTTGACATTGTTTTTGTTCTTCCATTTTGGTTTCTACAGCTTCTAAAATCAACTCAAGCACTTTAAAATAAAACACCCAGACATTTTTTGGCAGTAAGTTTATGTTTTCTGGTGTCTGGAAATTGAGCCGTTTCAAAAACCTTTTGAATGTGATGTCACAAATCAAAAAGCACAGCGCTGTTACCTAGCAACCCCAGTAGAGCCCAGTCTGTTACCTAGCAACCCCAGTAGAGCAGTATGTTACCTAGCAACCCCAGTAGAGCCCAGTCTGTTAACTAATAACCCAGGCCCAGTAAATTCAAATTCAAAAATACTTTGATACCAAAGGGGAAGTAAATGTTGCAACTCATATTAAAATTCTTGACTTCCATCCAGAGCTTCTTGAACCTCCAGATCCCGGGTTTCTACAATCTGCTTTCTGTAACGTTCTAAGGTTCAGTTATTTGATTCAAATGTAATTTTGTTCTGTTTTTTCCAGAGCTGGAAACTGTCTCATCTTCCGTGGGAACCTGTCGGTCCCAGATCCTGAGACATCCAACCATACGCTCCTTCTGGATGCTGATGGTCAGTGTTGGACGAGCTCTAATTTTATACTTTTATGTTATACTTTTATATGTTAAATTTATACTTTTTTGGCAGGAATTCACTCCTCCATGGACGTTTTTCTCCACTTTTATCAGAAATGGCCCTAATATAATCTGTCCCTGTAAACAACCAATATACTAACTCAAGCATCAAGCTAGGAGCTAGTAGATGATCCACTTTAAGTCTGTATGTATAATTTATCCCCTGGAGAGAAAATCTAGTAAATTCAAGATAATCTTAATTTTAAAATATTAAAGTTGTTACTTGGAGTCTTTACTTTCTATATTGAAACATTGTAGAATCATATATATATATATATATATATATATATATATATATATATATATATATATATATATATATATATATATATATATCAGAGTTATCTCAATAATCACTGCAGTAGTTTGATAGAAAACAGTTTTATAAACAATTATCTTTTCACAGATTATCGGTCTCATACTAAACTGTCACGACATAGTGCCAGTTTCACTAAATATGCAAAAATATTAATAACAGTTACATCAGGGGTGTCGAAGGTGTGGCTCGGGGGCCATTTGTGGCCCTTGAAATGATTGTGTTTGGCCAAAGTCAAAAATAGTAACAACTATTCATAACAAAATATTTTGAGATTTTCTGTTTTTCTTCTAATAAGACATCAGTCCAAAGCCATTTTTATGTTATGCTCAATTTATTTTTTAGCAGGTAAAACAAACAAACCAAAAAATGGTTATAAATGAAATTTGCCTTTTTAATTTAATGAATCTTGTGGTTCGCCAATAGTTTAAATTTTCCAGTTTTGGCCCCAAGGACTAAAAGTTTGGACACCCCTGAGTTACATATTGAGGGAAATCCGACCAGCACACAGGGAAAAGTTGATGGGATGTTATTGTTGCTGATTCCTTGAAGGCGTGCGGGAGTTTGGCGGTGTGGTGACTCCATACGATGACAAAGGTCGAGCGGACGTCCACCAGGCCTGTTCGAACTGCCTGCTTGTCTTCTACCGCGGAGTGTTTGAGGGAACGCCGGGGAGGATGCTGCTCATTTACAGTGAGGAAAACACTTTGAACATTCATCTGACACGAGATTAAAACTGATCTGCAAAAACTCCACACCAGTTGGAAAATAAGACAAAATTATCAGTTGTTTGAAGACATGATGTTTTGGCTCTGTTAGGACTAAAATAATCTGTCTTTAAAGCATACAGGTTATGGAAAGTTTTGGAAACCAATAAAATGGGAATCTGTTGTATTTTTTATCCGTTTAACTACTTACACCTGCAATGTTTTGTTTGGAAGTGTGTAAATGTAAATAAAGAATTCTAAAAAATAAATAAGTAAAATAAATTTAGTTCACATATAGCACAAAATTACAACAAATATAATAAGTTCAATCTAATCAGACTGACATAGCCCACACTGTAAAAAAAGAAAATTGTCTCTAATTCACAGTGAAATACCAGCAGGTTGCTAGAATTATAAATGTAAATACGGTAAAATCCATATTTTATCTGTAGTTGCCAGAATTTCACCCTATTTATGGTAAAATTACGTGAATATGGTAAAACTCTGGCAACCACAGCTGCTGGTATTTTGTCGTAAATTACAGACGGAAGTCAATTACAACCATTACAAATCGTAAATTTTTTACTTTTTTGAATTTTTGGAGCTCAGAAATTTCCTTGTTTTGTCTAGAAATAATCTTAGAAAATTGTGGGGGAAAAGGGCAAATTCAGAAATATTTTTGCCCAAAACATTTGGCAAAAATTTTTTACTGAATTTTTGGCAAAATTTTCCTTTTTTATTCCATCTATCATGGTCCTAACACACCGTGATCCGCATTGCTCCTTCCAGGCTCCTTACTGTCAAACCCAGAATCCAAAGCTCCCTGTTAGAAAACCACAATAAAACAAAAAATATTTTTAATTAAAAAACAAAGCAAAACAGAACATTACAAATCTCTAATATCTACTTTACAAAGAGTTTATTCTGTCTGCAGAGAGGATGCTGACTTCCTGTCATATTTTGTGAAACAGGAAGTGAGGGGAAACACCTGGATGCTGAGGAGCTGACAGCTGCTGAGAGCGAACACAGGAGGATAGCAGAGTGCCTGAAGTTCAACGTCAGGACGAGTTTCCGCTACGACGGGAAGGCAGGTCAGGAAAATGACTAGTTACTGTCTGAAGTGGTAAAACTGGGCGACAGACTTCAAAGTTCATGTTTTAGTTGTTATAGAAACCAAATAACAGCCAAACATTTGTGACGTTGTTTTACATAATTGGTGAGAAGATTTTAAACTCTGTTTTCTTTTATATTAAATTACAAAAACAAGCAATATGCATGTTCATTCACAGACATGAATCTCTGTATTCTGTAAATTTAACCTCCATTTCAGCCATTATTTGGATTATAAAGCAGATTATTTTTTAAAAAAGTGTTTTGTTTCTCTGCAGATTTTTGCCTGGAAAAGAAGGAAGAAACAAAAGCCTGACACAACATGTAGGGTTTAATAAATATATTTATCTGATGAAGACTAAAGTTGTTTCATTCATTCTCATGTGTCTCGATTTGTTGAGAGCAGATGGAAATCTATGTTAATACACTAGTCTGGCAAAAGTAGCAAACATAAGTTACTACAATTGTAAAGTTATGGCAATTTGTGCCATAATATGAATTATAATATGAATATTATAATTTATATTCTAATGTGAATTATAATATGAATTATAATTCATAGTTTTTTATTTTTAAAATTAAATTAATTAATTAATTAATTAATTAATTTATTTATTTATTTATCTATTTGTCACTCTTGCTGCTTAACTTTGATAAAATTAAATGTATTTATTTATTTATTTATTTATTTATTTATTTATTTATTTATTTATTTATTTATTTATTTATCTATCACTCTTGCTGCTTAATGTTTCGATAAAATAAAAATTTTCAGACGTGTCTTTTCGGTCTGGTGCCGCTGGGTGTCGCTGTCGCGCTCCCTTTTAATTCGCTGAAAAGAAACCCGCCGCGCGCGGCCTCGTACGGGGTAGAGCGCGCGTGCTCGAAGCCAAAGAGCATCTGCTTCAAAGCGGTCCGCGCACGCGCAGGAGGGAAGGATGCAGCCTGTGTTCAGACAACAGCCGCGGCTCTGAGGAGGAGACACAACCGGCGTGGACCCGAGTGGACGCGGCGGCACCGACACCAGGACCTCACCGGGGACCGGAGCGACCAGAGTCCGGGCTGCAGCTCCCTCCGGGCCGGACCGAACCTCCTCCTTCTTCCCCAGCGCTCCGACTGAGCGGTTCCCACCGGGAGTGAAGAGGAGGGAGGATGAAGAAAAGCAACCAAAGCAGACGGGTTAGTCAGACACGTTTTATTCTTTAGTTTTATATTTTTATTTTTAGCTTTGGAGTCAGTTTTAAACATTCATCCGGGTTTAAGTTGTTTTAATGTTTAATTGGGCAGAAAGCAGAGTATAAATATGAAAATAAATCCCTCAGATTTCTGATCAGGTTCGTTATTTATCAATATTCATCACGCTGCTCCATTGAAATTCCTAATCACTGCCACGTTTCCGTCAATAACTTTAACTTAATTTACATCCAATTGATGAATTAATGAATAAACATTTTTGTTACATATTTATTAGTCGTCTATTGTGTAAATAAATTAAGCTTAATTATATTTTTTCAGCCTTTTTTTGTTTTTATGTTTTCACCCAGGTTTTGTTTATCTGGTCAGTTAAACATTTTAATTTTGAGTCAATATTGCATGACATTTCACCATCATTTAGGTTTTGGGATCCTCAGATTAACGCTTCACACACATTCTGAGGAGGAAATTTATTTTTTTTTTCACTAAACTAATTTAAAGATGGAGTCAGAAATTGTGGGAAAAATCTTCAAAATGTTCTTCTTCGTCTTCCCGATAAATAACTGGAATCCTGAAACCTGTTATTGTCAGATCAGAGGATAAAAAACATCCCAAACCACTTTGAGCTCAACTTTCATGTCTTTTTTTGTTGTTTCTTTGAATTTTTCCCTTTGAAAGTTTTTCCCGTCAGGTCCTGTTGCTTCCCGTTTCCTGGTCGGTTTCATTTCGTCTCTTTCTCTCTGCAGCACTTCGCCCAGCTTTCTTTTTCCTCTTACTTCTGTCAGAGTCGGGCTGTTATGCAATTAAAGTAGGTCAGACTGACGGAGAGCAGTGAGATCATGACAAACACGATCATCGTGAAGATTTGCACTCCTCCATCAGTCGCACGTTATTCCTCCTCTTCACTTCTCCCTCGCCTTTCTTCCTCTTCTTCTACTCTCAGACCAAAGCTTTACCTTTTAACTTTGTTTTTTCTCATTTTTTAAAATGTACTTTCATCTGGTTTTTCAGTCATTCTTCATTTTTTAACCTGAAAATAAGATTAATTGATCTTCTTATGAGTTTAATCCTTTTGTTTGTTTGTTTGTGAAATTAAAATATTTCTTTTCCTCGTTTATGCAATAATCACACACTAATAACACAAATTAATTCTTTATAGACCTGCAACTCTATTATTTTGGTTATAAAATAATCTATCGATTAATCTGACGATGGATAATTGGATAAAAAATTGCCACATTCTGCTGATTTTAAATTTAAACCTTTTTTTCTACAATATTAAAAATACATTAATAGAAACAAACAACTACATTTTATTGCCTAAAATGAATAACGTAGCATTCCTTTGAACACCTGATCATTTATTAAATAAAAATACTTCAACACTTCCTACTTAATGTATCAGTACAATTTAGGATTGATCTGTTGATTATCTTTTGGATTAAATCTAATAATTGGATTGATAGACAATTATTTTAACAAATGATTAATCACGATTAATCATTTCATCCCTAGAAGGCTATGTTTGAGGAGTTTTTTTATATCTTAGATTCATCATTTATTTATTTATTTCTGCAGTTTTGGCTTAATTACTTCTCTGAGTACGTTGTTTTTTCAGCAAATTATCTTTTTTTAAGTTAACGATTAATCGATTACTAAATTAGTTGACATTTATTTTGATAATCGATTAATCTGATCTATAATTATCTGATTTGTTGGTGTCATGTTGGCTGTGAACTTGTGGTTTCTCTTGTTTTGTTTTTATCTTCTTCTTCTGTTTCAGGGCTTGCAGGACTCCGGTCCGCTCGCCGTCCAGCAGCCGGAGAAGGCAGGTTGGATCAGGAAGTTCTGCGGTCGAGGGATTTTCAGGGAGCTGTGGCGGAGCAGGTACCTGGTGCTGAAGGGAGATCACCTCTACATCTCAGACAAGGAGGTGAGGGACGAGCGAAACGGAAACATAGTTAATGGGACGGCACTGGGAGGACTGGGAGTCGTTTTGCCTGATGGGTTCTGGGCCTGGAGCTTCAGCAGCTGTTTGGTGTCAGCGACCTCACTGTGGGTTAGTGTCAGAGAGAGACGGAGACGGTTTGTGTCCTGGAGCGACAGCGGAGATTAGCAGCAGCGACTGACTCAGGAGTCAGACGCGATGTTGGAGAGTGAAACAGAAACTCCCAGAGTTTGTGTTCCTCTAGCGGCGACCTATCCTTGGACAGGTTGGGCCGGGTCTGTGATCCAAACACGTTCGTTACGGTTTTTTCACAAAATCATTTTTAGATTAAAAGATTTCAGTGTTCTCAGTTCTGACTGTTTTGAGCTCCTTTCAGAATGAGCTGTTTTAGGGCGCTGTCACTTTAAATCCAAATGAGCAGCTGCTGGCCACGCCCCCCAGCTCAGCGTTTACATTCATATGTGAAAATGGCTCCTTCTTTCCCAGCAGCTACCGAAGGGCGCATACTGCGGTTAAACCAGATGACCAAATGTGCTGGAGTTCCACCTGGGTTGCTAGGTAACGGACTGGAGTTCCACCTGGGTTGCTAGGTAACAGACTGGAGTTCCACTTGGGTTGCTAGGTAACGGACTGGAGTTCCACTTGGGTTGCTAGGTAATGACATAAAACCCTATTTTTGAAATGCCTAATTTTTCAGACACCAAAAATCATTAGCTCATTGTCAAAATTGTGGCGGTGTGTTTTTTCTAAGTGGCTGTTTTTAGAAGCAATACAAGCCCAAATGGAAGTACAAAAACATGAATCCTAACACTTACAAATCCATGTAAATGCTGATTCATTTATTTTTTTACTTGTTGAGCTTCAAATGGACTTCAAATGAAATATTTTCCCAAACCAAGACACCTAAAGAGAAGAAGCATGTAACTGTAAAGATAAAAAAAAACACTAAATAAACTCATAATTAAAACTCAAGACAACCACATAGATGTATATAAAATCACAAAGACAAACAAATCATAAAATAAAAACAATAACAAAAATCTTCCAAGCACCAAAAAGACACAAAATAACAAAGCTGAGAATAGATTAAAAAACATCCATAAAACAACATCGATACACCAAAATCAAGAATAAAAACAACCAGAAAGTAATTAAAAGAGATTTGAAAGGAATAGAAAGAACTATAATTTTTTGACTGTGGTAAATTACTTGTTTTATGGCAACAGCAACTAGTTAAACAGTCCAATAAAAATATGGATATAGTCGATGAATATTTGCATCCTTGGTAAATTACACGGGTCAAACATTTGTGATGTTGATTAAAATCTTGATAAATCTAAGAATCTCCAGTAAAATCAGGATGTGACTTTGTTTGTTTAGATGTAAAATGGAAGTTTTAGTGAGACGAGGGAGGAACGATGTCCTGTAATCTGTTTTTACTTCCAGCTCAGATGATGGCCGGTCGGCTCTGAAACATGAGCTTTTCACCTGAACCGACCTCATCAAGTTCCTGTTGTATGAAAATCCAACATCCTCTTTAGAGAAACTGCTTCACATCAGTTTTAATCTTTTTATTGCTCTGTGGTAGACAAATTCACTAATGTTAACGGAGACCAACATGCTTCCTTTAACAGGTTAGGATTAATCTACGGACTGCACATAACATCCATTTCATTTGATTTCACAAAATCATTCCTACCTAATGAGATTTTAGTCTGGTCAGTTCTGCCTATTTTGAGCTGTTTTAGGGCGTCTTATCTCTTTAAGTCCAAATAAGTCACGCCTCCAACTCAATATTTAGCCTTTCATGTGAAAATGGCTGCAAACAGAAGCACAATTTTACAATGACTGATCTTTGAAAAGCAGAAGTAAAGCCTCCTGCACAAACAACAACAAATCACTTGTCTTTTCCAGCAGCCATTGTACAGCAGTAAAACCAGCTGACCAAACGTGCTTGAACTCCAGCTGGGTAGCTAGGTAACGGACTGGGCTTGGCTGGGGTTGCTAGGTAACGGCTTGTTGATTTGTAATATTACATTTCAGAGGTTTTTGAAATGGCTCTTTTTCCAGACACTAAAAATCTTTAACTTGTTCCCAAAAACTAGCTGTGCTGGGTCTTTTAAGCTCTTGGTTGCTTTTAGAAGCAGTCGAGACCCAAATGAAAGCACAAAAACCTGAAAAATGTGAATTTAACATAATTGGTCCCCTTTAATGCCGCGTGGTTTGACTGCAGGCCGTTTGTTCGTGTCGGGAATCAGATGAACCTTCCTGTCAGTGAGGCAGTTTGGATCCTAAGTGCCGAGTGTTCACACTGATTCTGTTTTTGCTCCAGCATTACGTAACTCTCTTTTATGCAGCTCCACACACAGGCTGCGGGACGCTGAGTCAGACTTTCTCAAACACTTTCTTCTGGGTTTTGCATCTCAGCTGATTTTATCTCTGCAGAGTGCAGACAGGCAGATCTGAGGAGGTGGAGGCCGTCTGTCGGCGAGGAGTTTGAACAATAAAAACGGCTTCAACAGTTGGTCAATTTGTTTCTGTTGTTTTGTTTTTTCCCAGCATAAGAAGGAGCTGTTCATTCATTAGTTTAAATTCACTTTAAATGATTTAAATCACGTGTCAAACTCCAGGCCCGGGGGCCAAATATGGCCGCCGTAGCTTTTAATGTGGCCCTCGAGACTCCAGATGACATCAGGAAGTCCTTTCAGTTCTTTACAAATCTGTAAGATTCACAAAATCAACAGATCCCCAAATTTTTTCTGATTTTACTGTAATTATTTCTCAAAATTGGTGAAAAACATTTAGTTTCAATGACTCAGCATTACTTAATGTGAAGTTATAGTTCCTGATTGATACGGCGATTAATAAAAAGTCACATTTAGCATAAATATAATAAAAATTCATCAGAAATCTTTCTAATTTAGCACCACAAATTCTGATTCTGATTGCAAAAAAAACGCAAAAAAATCACAAAATCGTGGTTGGGCTGATCAGCGTGAAAATATGTTTAATTTAATTATAGGAAATACTTACTGAATGTTGAAACAAACAGCAGTTTATTGATATTTTAACAGATATTTTAATGGGTTTTATCAACAGATTCATGCTCAACCGGCCCTTTAAGAGGAACTTTAAGAGTTAAATGATTGAACACTGGAGCTGGAGGACATTTTAAAAAATAAAATAAATAAATAAAACAGCAGAGACAACAAATAAAATTAATTATAAAGTCTCTGTAAACAAATTGTCCTTTAAAAAAATGTTTATTTGAGACCAAAACACCAGAGTGAAGAGTTTAGTCATCTAGTTTTTGGTAGAAATAGAGAAAATAGAGAAAATTGTTACATAAGGCAAAGGGAAATTATTGAGTTTGTTATCACCTGTTTATTATCTGACTTATTGATTTATTGCTTAATTGCGACAGGCCTGATCACACCTCAACTGAAAGCAGAAACTATTAAAACCTGATCTAATGGGACAGAGAAGTGGAAAGATTACAGAGAGTAATATAAAACCAGAAAGAAGAAAATCACAAACTGGCTGCAAAACTCTGCAGAAGGTTAAATACTGATAACATCTTCCATAAGACCAGTCCGTTCGTCCGCTGCTTTAAAAATAGACATTTCCATGCGGATGCAGAGTCAGGAATAAAGTGCGTTTCTGCTGAGAGGTTCTGTTTGTGTGTTCGGCTCTATTTTAGCTGCAGAAACTCGTGTTCCTGTTATTGTTGCCGAGGCCGGCCGATCGGACCGAGCGGCGTCATAATGACTCACCCTAACCCAGTTACCGCTGCAGCAGGGAGCTTCATCTCATTATTTACATCGTAAATCGTTAGATTTCTGGGTAAAGACGCGCTCAGGGGTGGGAAGAAAACAAGTTTGAGGCGTGAATGAGAAGCTGTAAATCACTGCAATCTGCTCTGAAGCGGTGAAACGAGCCTGCCTGTTTTTCCTGTAATTACATATTTATTTCACTGCGAGTCTCGGGGATCCGTCCTGTTTCTGTGTCTCAGAATGACCCGGGTCCGCTAACTACTGCAGCCAGAGGCGCTGTGTGTGTGTGTTGGATTTCTATTTTTAAAGGTAGCAGTTTTACTCTGAAACTAAAGCAGAGAAGACATTCCTCCCTCATGCAGATCTTTCTCATGAAAAATGCAGATAATTGATCATCCGGACATCCAGAGCTCCTGTTTTTGTCTCGTATTTTCTGAAGCGTCTCCATGTCGGCGGCGCTGAGGCTCAGGCTCCATGTAAATAGTATAGATTGTGGTATTGATAATGGTATTGATGGCTTCTCAACATGTGACTGCCATGAACCCTGCAGCCATTAAACACAACATCTGACACAGAGGAATGTTAAATCATCCTCATTATGATCAAGAGATGGAACAATTTTATACATTTAAAGGTTTCTGAGTGTTTATGAAGCGACTTTTATTCATTTGTGTTGCAGTTTTGTATTACTATCAGCTCATAAAACGTCTCAAGTTCAACAAACTCGTTTTAAATTAATCCATAAACTGCAAAGTTATCACATTTAAATGAAGTATTGCCAATATTTCATTAACATTCATCATCCCAGAGAAGCTAAACATACTTGTAACATGAAAGCACAAACATATAGAGATTTATTATTTTAAGCCACTAAAAAGCTGCTTTAAACTTTTTTATACTATTTGGTTTGGAGCAAAAAAACCCCTGAAATTAATCATTAAATAAGATTTTCTCTATTATTATTGAAAGGGAAACAAAATGTCTCTCATATATGTCACATATAATTGTCCCAGAAGTTACTGAAATAAACGATAATATTGTTGTGTTGAGACCATTTTCAGGTAATAATGATCCAATAATGTGAGATTCTCAAAGATCAATAAACTTTAAATTCTAATGAATATTTAACACTGGAACACATTTCAAATATCCAAAATAAATTACAGAAATAACAAGTAAAATTAATTATAAAGTCTCTGTAAACAAAATTAT